AAGTGCGAAGTGTGTGACGTTGCGCTTTGTGTGCTTTGTTTTAAGCCTTATCATCAGTTAGAGTAAAAGCACAAAACCTGACAATTTTCGTAAAATTCTAGTAAATTGGTAAATGGAATTATGATAGTAGTTTATAAGTATAGCTGTTCCCACCATCATGATTTGTTTAGTGTACCACTTAAATTTTGTATGGTATTGTTTAAATTTTATTCAGCCATTCTGACAAGGGCTTTTAGTTTTATTATCTGACCCAGAGTTTCTGTTTAATTAAGTAACATACCTCCAGAAGTACACTATTCATTAAACCCGTACTTTTAAAAGTACATTATTTATTAAACCCGTGCTTTTAAAAGTACATCATTCAAATATGATGTACTTTTAAAAGTACGATGCAATGTTCCAAAAACGCAAGCTCCAACAATGAACTTTTAAAAGTACGGGTCGAAAAAGCTATAAAAAATATAAATTTTTTCAAAATAATTATTGCACCGTCGGAGTTGGTACCTCAGTGCTTAGGAAACAAAATTTCATCAAAAAATTCGAACGTTTAGAGTTGTTGGTATTATATGGGTTAAGCCTAAGGTTTTCCTGGCTTTTGAAGAGGAGTCAGAATGCCTTCTGAAAAAGATGGAAAATGTTCGCTGAGATCAAACGAACGATTTATGAACAAGGAATTGAAACTGTGGGGGTCCGTGCAGACCAACCTACCTGTGGCTAAAGCTCTAATATACAAAAACAATACATTCTAGGAGGAAAGTAACAGTTCCTGATTGAACTTAGCGGGGCCGGTGCACTATCAGTTAGACTTTTCGTTCCAATTGTTCCGCGGAAGGAGTATTGAGAGGCCAGGAGTGTTCCACAGAAGCAGTATTACTTACTTTAGGTTGGTATGGCAGGGATTGCTTCTGGATAGTTTCCCCGTTAGTTGAACTGTAGCTGTAGTCTTCGTTGGAGAAGGGGAGTTTCAATAGACAAGAATCTCATAAAAATTTTTAATTGAATTCCACAATAGAAATTCCAACTGCTGATGATTCTTTCAAAGAAATTTCTAATAAAACAGTAAACTCAGTGCCAACAATTTAAAATGAAATTAAATATAAATCGCGGTACGACATTTTAGTTATTTGTCCCGAGAAATTGATTGGGTATTTTAAGTCAAAATAAAATAAAATTAAGAAACTGTTAATAAATAACGGTTTTACATAAACCCTTACCCCAATCCAAACCATAACTACCTTATCGGTCATAATTATCACATTACTTTCACGCTGCAGATAATAATGTCCGTAAATAATAAAGTCCGGTAATTATTTCCATTAATTTTAGTGTGTGTCCCTGCAAGTGCAACTGCATATGTGTAGATATGTGTGTAGCCGATTACTATATTAGTTTATTGGTATAAACCAGGGCAAATATAATCACTCATGCACTCCTCAGTCACATTCTAGAGTTCAGAAAAAGAGTAAAACACTTAGTAACAAATTATCAGCCGCGGGGTCTAAAAACTTTTACAAAATATTCCCATTGTCTTTTCCAACATGAACTGACAAAAATACTTCTCAGCCATATTTTAACCAATGAACTTTTGGAAAAGTTTTCAATTATCAAGCCAAATGTGTGCAAAAAATTTTGAGTTCTTAGCTTAAAGCGTTCTCATTTTATGAAGACAATAGTGAAAAAGAGGGAGTGTCACGCCACGCCCACTGTAATTGGGCGTGGCTTACGAAACTTTCAGGAAATCTAAGTTTGACCCATATAATCTATAATCTCTGAAATTTTGGTGCAATTTGGAGACGAATTACGTGAGTTATTAAGAGGTTGCGTGTGGGTAGTCACTTATGGGCCACCCTGTACTATTAGAGTATTAAAAAAGGTTAAGACTAACTAGTTGGAGAGTTTCAGGAATATCAAATATCTTTTCTAATTTAAATTTCTCTATAAAAAAGTCATGTTTTTTTTGGAGCACCCTGTATCAAAGTAATTGATAAATTACCTAGTCTTTTCTTGTCTTCTTCGAGCTTTCGATGAGTCATTAGGCTAAGTAGACATTTTCATGATACAGTAAAACCTTTTATAGCTGGTCTCGGGAGAAACGGGAAGTGCACAATATAGAGAAACCTCGGTATAGAGTATTTCATACACCCCATTATGCACGTATTGTGATTGAACACAGATAGATGTGTAGATTGTGTACTCACATCACCCACCAATTACGATATGACCTATGATAAATCACATTTCTTGCACAACTCGGTCTACGTCTGATTGTGGAGGAAAAGAAGAGGCCCAGTTTAGAGGAGGAAAAGAAAAGGCTCAGTATAGAGGAGGAAAAGAAGAGGCCCGGTATAGAGGAGGAAAAGAAGAGGCCCGGTATAGAGGAGGAAAAGAAGATGCCCGGTATAGAGGAGGAAAAGCAGAGGCCCAGTATATAGGAGGAAAAGAAGAGGCCCGGTATAGAGGAGGAAAAGAAGAGGCCCGGTATAGGGGAGGAAAAGAAGAGGCCCGGTATAGAGGAGGAAAAGAAGAGGCCCGGTATAGAGGAGGAAAAGAAGAGGCCCAGTATAGAGGAGGAAAAGAAGAGGCCCGGTATAGAGGAGGAAAAGAAGAGGCCCAGTATAGAGGAGGAAAAGAAGAGGCCCGGTATAGAGGAGGAAAAGAAGAGGCACGATATAGAGGAGGAAAAGAAGAGGCCCGGTATAGAGAAGGAAAAGAAGAGACCCGGTATAGAGGAGGAAAAGAAGAGGCACGATATAGAGGAGGAAAAGAAGAGGCCCGGTATAGAGGAGGAAAAGAAGAGGCCCGGTATAGAGGAGGAAAAGAAGAGGCCCGGTATAGAGGAGGAAAAGAAGATGCCCGGTATAGAGGAGGAAAAGCAGAGGCCCAGTATATAGGAGGAAAAGAAGAGGCCCGGTATAGAGGAGGAAAAGAAGAGGCCCGGTATAGGGGAGGAAAAGAAGAGGCCCGGTATAGAGGAGGAAAAGAAGAGGCCTGGTATAGAGGAGGAAAAGAAGAGGCCCGGTATAGAGGAGGAAAAGAAGAGGCCCAGTATAGAGGAGGAAAAGAAGAGGCCCGGCATAGAGGAGGAAAAGAAGAGGCCCGGTATAGAGCCAGAGGAGGAAAAGAAGAGGCCCGGTATAGAGGAGGAAAAGAAGAGGCCCGTTATATAGGAGGGAAAGAAGAGGCCCGGTATTAAGGGAGGAAAAGAAGAGGCCCGGTATAGAGGAGAAAAAGAAGAGGTCCGGTTTCAGGTTTATCCAAGTACCCTGTATAGATTATCACGGTTGGCGGTATCGGGAATAGGTATAGAGAGGTTTTATTTACTGCACAATGAAGCCAATAAAAAATTGTATGATTTGTGGTTATTAGATAATTAGTAATTCTCCAATTATATGATTGTCCGATGTGGAAATAGTCAGCACAAAAGCTTTGAAAAGAAGTATAACAGGATTAAACAATGCGATCTCTCGATAACTTATTTGTACTAATACTATTATGAAGGGCTGCCAAAACACATACACTACAAATTAAAAATCAATAAATAAAATCAACTGATGATATTCCAAACTTTTCAGAGTATCAGTCACCATTTAACATCAAAAATCGGAGGAGTAAACTACTAAGCCAGCTCATGCAGGTCAGGGATTGTAATTAAACTAAGCGTTACAGAGTCATGGCGATAGACGCAAAGCTGTGAAGATTGAATCAGGAAATAAAAAGAGAACGCCGGTAAAATTTTACTGGGCCGCTCTCAGCCTGTCATTCCGCCGAATTTCTATTAATGAACATGATAGCCTGAGGTCCCCAGGTAAGTAAAATTGAGTTTGAGATAGACTTGTATAAATAGAACGGCTTTAAGTTCATCGTTCATTATTAACTTTCCTACAGTCTGCGCCGCTTACGTTTATATAACCGACGTACTTAATGCCTCACGTTTCACAAATATTCGCCGCACTCGAGCCTCACTTTTTACCAAATTTGCTGCGCATTAAGCAAGTGCGGGATCGCAATTTTCGCAAAATTTCGCCGCACTTATAATTATATATGTTGCCTCTGGCAGAAGTAGGAAAATTTTAAAATAAAAAACTACATTTCTTGCTTGAAGGACTTTTGTAGATGATTTTATTTCTATTCGACAGCGTTGAGCGTCCAAGCGTGTTATAAATGCTAATTCATTCATGATTATTTTCAATCCAGGCAAATCGGTGAACATGACCGAGTTTGTTTGTTTAATCATTTGATCTGCTTCCTAAAGAAATTTAGGAAGTAGAAATGATTAAATAATTAAAGTAATTTTGGGAACCCAATTAAGCTGATTAGGCGCCCTGTTAACTGTGTGGGAACTAAGTCAAATTTGGTACATTTTTCGAATGTCAGTCACCCCAACTGTCGCATCAATTTAGTACAAGAGTAGTGGTTATTAGGATTCGTGTTCACATAGCCATGTGTATACGCGTACTGCAAGCGAGAGGACTCTGGTTAGAGCAAGGATTCGTGTGATCCATTGTTTGTTGTTATTTGATTGTGATCGAGAAACGAACGTTCACCGTTCGGAACCTTTATTTTTAAACAATAAACATTCACTAGACTAGATGATTGGAGCCGAGAAAAATGAATCTATCAGTTACCTTAATGAGTTCTTTAATTAACAATAGTTGTGTTCTCTCAAGTGGAAATTGATAAGGAGAGAAGAAGTTTACTACCCAGTCAGACAAACCAATATCACCTCTGATACCCTCCTGCAGCATCACCTTTCTTATTACCATATATGGTAATAAGAAAGGTTGAAGTGGTATCAGAAAAGTGTAAGTGGTATACCACTTACACTTTTCTGATTTTTTTCAGCATGGGAACCAAACATGTTTATTGTAACTGAATGAAGATAAGCTACCAGTATCAGCCATCAGCCATGTCATTGTGGTGAATTTGTTGTAATTATATTCTTCAATTTTCAACATATTTGTAAGCATTAGAATAAACAACTACTAGCTCAATGAAATTATTCATACAATGAAATTACCACATAAATATCAACAACTCAACGTAATATTCTAGTACAATCTTTGTGCTGTTCTACTCTTTGGAGGAGCGACACTATTAAGCCGTGGTATATACATATTACATTACACTGGATCGAGCTTACACAGTGTAATTTCCTCCAGTCTGCGCCGCGCGCCTATAATTATATTTATATAAACGTACGCGGCGCAGACTGGAGGAAATTACATTGTGTAAGCTTCATTGTAATGTAATATGTATGTACTACGGCTTAACAGTCTTACTACTGACAAGACATGATGTAGCTGTCGTATTTTTTACTTTTCTTCTCATTGCTCGAACTCACCAATGCACATCTGAAATTTAAAAACTAGGAATAAAGTTGTAGGTTGGTTATTCTACATCGAGTCATATAATTTACATACAGAGATGTCTAATTCATCGTCTGGGGCTTTTCAAAAACCCTAAGCATTGATATTATTAATCAACTAAATTCTATTTAGTAAATTGACTACATATTGGTCGCCTTTCATCCGTGAAGTCTTCGACGTGATTCATGGAGAAACTTGTGGCAAAGTATAATAAAGTTAAAAAACATACTTTTTTGCTGATTTGCAATGGATGCCCTTACAATCGTCTCTCTCTTCGCACGCCGCTTTAGCTTTCTCCATGCTAAGTTTTAATTTGGTGAGAACCCCCTTCATTTTCCTGTTATCCACTTTCTCCCAGTTGCAGATCTTAGGACAATCGCCAGGAATGTAGGTGGTGGAACCCTCGTGGTCTACCAAATCAGATCCTGACCTCAGGGTGAATTCATCCTCTTCTGTCGTCAGTCCTTTGCAATCTGGAGAAAATTGTCGTCATTTTGATAACATCCTTTACGAGAAATAAGTACAACTCATGGTGTGTGAAACTATAAAACCTTTATTTTTTATAAACTAAATTAACTGCTATAATGGAAGGTAAATTATGCTCAGAAGAATTTTGACAATTACAAACCTAACATGGCCCCACATGCACTTTTAGCAGTGTCAAGATCCCCCATAGCCACTCTCTTCCCTGTAGCGTAACCACTGAGCTCTTTATTTTCAATCATACACCACTCTGCACTTTCTTCTTCGCTTTCTTCTTTTTCTTCTTCTTCTTCACGTTCGTCACTTTCTTGCTCTGTATCTGAACCTATTGATGTATAAGTAATAACTATATAACAACATTAAAAAAGTAAATCGATACTCAGAGAGATTTATCATTGCTGGGCAAACACCAAATAGTTCAACCAAAGACTAAATCTATAGTCTGATTACTAATCATGATGGAAATATAGCATCTCTTTGCTTTCTAGATAATCGTCCTCATTTACATGCAACTATCTCTCAGTTAGATCTGCAAAAGGAGGTGAATAGTATCAGAACTAACCGGCAATAACCGGGTAGTGAGCATAGCTGGATATCTGGCACATGTTACTGAATTTCTTGTTATCTTCACTTCTCCTCATTTTTATATAACCATTCTGTCCCCATTGTTTGCCCCAACTGCAGAGTGATGCTGTCAGTGTAATTTAAAGATATTTGCCAGTTTATTTCGTTACTGAAGTAGTTGAAAAAGAACCAGTGTTGATGAATGCATTTAACCAGACGTTTGACGACATAAGTCAGGTGCAATCTCAAGGTAACCCATTTCCAATCTCCATATTAGTATATTACCAACCCCCCTTTCACCCCCCCCCCCCCTTCCACACCCCCCCTTTTTACCCCCCCCCCCTTTTCAACCCCCCTTCACCCCCCCCTTTCACTCCCCCTTTCACCCCCCCTTTCACCCCCCCTTTCAGCCCCCCATTCATCCCCCCCTCCATCAGCCCCCCTCTTTCAGCCCCCTTCCCCCCTCCCCTTCTTTCACCCCCCCCCCCCCCCCCTTTCACCCCCCCTCCTTTCACACCCCCCATTTCACCCCCCCCCTCCTTTCACCCCCCCCCCCCCCCTTTTCACCCCATGCTCCTACCTATTTCTGACTATCCAGTATAAAGCCCCGTTGTCGTCTCCGTACCCCACAACATTTACAGCGTGGTTAACAGACACTTTATTAGCCCCACACTTCTTCGAGCTGTACAATCCTACCTGTGAAGGAAAGTAGGTAAATTCATGGGGTAAATTGTATTGTACAACAAGGGCGGGCCTGACGTGAATTTGAGCCAACAGGACGAGTTTCAAATCTCTTGTTTCATTCCTGATTTTGCTGGGTTGTACTGTAATCCTAACTGGCATTAAAAACTTAGCCTAGGCTATGAGTATGGGTTCCTAAGCTATGTCTGATTACATTTAACATACAAACCTTTGTCTCGTTGGTAACTGTTTCTATTAACTTCAATTTAAATAAAACCTTAAATAATAAATGATCAACATAGTTCGCAACTTTAACCTAGGAAACATAGTCCCAAATACCTTGTATGAGAAGAAGTCGCTGGTGACAGCGATAGCTACGACCAGTACACCGATGTTGCGATCTGCCACCGCTGCTTTCAGATTGCTGTCACCTTGCACGTATACCACCGGATCCTTCTCATCAAACTTCCATCCAGATAGTGCGTTCTTTTTATCCTCGTACGAACACGAGCCATCTGTGGATATAAATACTGATGAGATGCAAGTTTATTTGATGGACGTGGCCAGTTTTAAGTACGGTGCAATATTATTATGCTCTAGAAAAGGAACCTTATAAATAACCATGTAGAACATAGAAATAGTTACTCGTGTCTACGCTACATTTGATTACATAGTTGTGTAAGAAGATGTAACTTACAACTGTACTAAGGGGCCATCTACTTAGGACGTCCGCCAAAATCGCAGATTTTCAAAAACCACCCCCTCCCCCTGTCCGGATTTGTCCGAAATTCCAAAAACCACCCCCTCCCTATTTGAAATTGCCGGACGTCGTAAGTAGATGGCCCCTAACTTACAAGTGCCAAGGTTAGGGTAAGAAGCTGCAGAGGCGAGGTGTCCCTGGTGTTTAAGAGACCATCTGTAGCAGTCACCAGGCCACCCTCCCATACAACCATCTCTGTTATAAACACAGTTTGTGTACTGCTGCTCTGACAGCTCTTTCTTTTCTCCCTGTAGGTAGGTTAAACAAGTTTTAGGTAGGGTTTTCTGAGAGAAAATTTCGTAAAAATAAGTATAGAAGTGGAATATAAATCTGAGCTTTTATCAGTTGTAATTTGTGACAATGTAACCAACTTTTCTGTCCTTGTTCACTTGGTACTCCAGTGCTGCATTGGCTCCGAAAGCCCAACAATTGCCACAACCCTGGTTCTTGACTTCTGTCATAATATCAGTGTAGTCCACGAAGTCCTAAACATTTATTAGCTATTATATATAAAGTATAAGCTTTTTTGAATCAAGGTCGTTGTATTTAAATGCAAGTAAAATTAGAAGGAAACCGAAAAGTGGTCGTGAAAAATCCAAACAATATTTGTTATCAACGCACCGGTAGTTCTGCTGCCATAAGATTTACAGGTCGGGTTTGTTGAAGGCTTATTTCAGCTTCACTTGGGGTAAAATCCGACATGTTCAATCCCAAATGACTTTGTAACTCGCCTTCTGTCTAAAAAGGTTTGAGTTTTAGAAAATATTTCAGTAACGAACAGAATTAACTTAAAATAAAACTGTTTCGTTACTGTAACCAAAATGTAGCCAACTTCAGCCAAAGTTAACATTGGCCGAATTCGGATATATCTTGGTGAAAATAAATCAATTATAATACATATTCAATTTCAGCCTTGCAATTGCGTTGTATTTAAATTGGGTACTAGCACAAACATGATCAATGGTGCAGATCACTTGTAAGATCTTCCAGCTCCATTAAGAAATATAACCCAGAATGTTTCTCACCTCTAAGAAATATAACCCAGAATGTTTCTCACCTCTAAGAAATAAAACCCAGAATGTTTCTCACCTCTAAGAAATATAACCCAGAATGTTTCTCACCTCTAAGAAATATAACCCAGAACATGTTTCTCACCTCTAAGAAATATAACCCAGAATGTTTCTCACCTCTAAGAAATATAACCCAGAATGTTTCTCACCTCTAAGAAATATAACCCAGAATGTTTCTCACCTCTAAGAAATATAACCCAGAACATGTTTCTCACCTCTAAGAAATATAACCCAGAATGTTTCTCACCTCTAAGAAATATAACCCAGAATGTTTCTCACCTCTAAGAAATATAACCCAGAATGTTTCTCACCTCTAAGAAATATAACCCAGAATGTTTCTCACCTCTAAGGCAAACTCGTTAATTTCAGCTTCCCACTCCTTATCTGCTTCATCATTGTGGACGAACACTTCAGCAGCGTGTTTTTTGAATACTTGGAAGTGTTCGTTCCCGTCACCGTTCTGGAATGTTACTGATGATAATTATCATGTCATGTCTGTACCTTTCAGACACACCATCGCAAACATAAAATGCTGCGGTAGAGAAAGCTCTGTAAGGATCTAAACATATGATTTTGTTGTTTTACTCACACCCAAAAAGAGTTGTGGAGTCTTGTGGTACTTTCTCAAAGTTTCTTGATAAAGTTTATTAAAGTCAACATCCTTCGCTGCAGAGGATCCCAACACTACCACGAAGAGTAGAAGAGATGAAAGCATTTGTGGTTTGGTACTGGTAGCACGTTTTATACTTTAACTGTGATCGAGCTTATTTGTTAACTAACAAACTATTTTGGCTTAAGCAAAAATAGCTTGTACGATGTACAAAAAATGCTGACTGAATAGCTTTATTAACATTGTCATTAAGTTAATTTAAGCTGAACTAAAAACACTAAAAGATTAAAGAAACGTAACAAAATCAACAGGTTTACGGATCAGAAACGACGAGTTCGACTTAATCTAGCAGACAATAAAATTACTGTCCGATCCCCCCTAAAGCTAATTCTAAACTGTGAGCCTAAAACTGCGTTATAAGCACATTGCTACTCAGTCAAATGTTTCAGCTTCTTGATGATAAGTCATCAAATCTGATGAGTCGATTTAAAGTTAACACTAAGTCTAACACTTATGACTTGACAGTTATTTAGTGCAAACGTAAGTCGTGAGGTAAACAGCATCGTTACGCGGAGGTTTTCTTCATTTGTACGTGAGCTTCAAACTATGAACAAATGAGCTCATGAAATATAATTATAGGATGGTAATATTGACAAACGCCCCTTTTTAAACGTTAACTCGGCCAAAAAAAACCGCAGACAACACCAAATTTAAATGTAATTACTGTATACGCTGACAGTTTATCGTGCCAATGATAAGATTGATCTTAGTCACATACAGGCTAAAGACGAAATCAGGGAAGGAGTGAGGAGGGATAAACGGCGCGACTTGAAAGGAGGGGCGGTCTCGCTGCATCGGGAGTCCTAGAAGGAGCTTCTATCAATACCAACAGGACACCATTCCCTGTGGTCGCTTTTATTGCTCATATTATATATCGGTATATAATTTACTTGATAATTCATGCTGACTAACTGACTAAAGATGAAAGAGTTTACTTCTTTGACCGTGAACTTGATTTACTGCACAAGATGATAATGATCGGTAAATATAGTGCATGAGCGACGATGAGGGACGTGTACAGTAAAACTGTGAAGATATTTGTTTTCCCAGATCAGAGATTCGAGATATGGTATCCTTTTCTGATTATTCTTAAGATCAACAAATTATTTTCGTTAACTATAGGGGGTATAACCAGAGTTAACACTGCAAATATTTGTTGTCGCTGTTTAGTGTCTAACCACACTGACTAATAACGATATATTTACTAACATGGATATTATATTAGTTTAAATTACTGAATGGTAAACTTGATAATTTGGCTTCATACTATTATAATGGACGACTATTCCGGAACTACGCCTAGGGGTAGGAGTAGTAGAGAAATATACTACAGGGTTAGACAGCGTTATCTAATATTTGTAAAAGTCTTCTTAATATAATAAGTGTCCAAAAACCAAATGAAACTCGTCGTTTTACAACAAACAATAAAGTAAAAGTATTGTGTAAGTATTTTGCAAGTAAACATGCAAAATTTAAAGAGTAAAATTATTGATACACGAAACTGTTAAAAATCGATTTAACGATAAAAGTTTGGGATACAAATGAAAAAGCTTCACAATTTTTAAAACTATCTAAACTTTCTGCCATTACGAATTAAATACTATCATAACCTTGATTTGAATTAAAAACAGTGTAAATTATAATTTATTAATTTTACCAAAACCCATAATCATGGGTAGAGTGGACCGCTGTCAGTGTCTCTCTTTCCCAAACAAAAGGAAATGATATTACTTTGATTGACCGTTCTCAAATGCAAAATGATACCGAGAATGAAATCGGTCGCTCGCTTTTCCCATTCATTCACGGCTTACGAATTGTAATAAGTTTCGATTGATTACATCAATCAGATGCTGTAAAAATCTCTTTGGGTTGCGTTCGGGTCGATACCTAGTATTTCGGGGTAAGGGTGGTAGTTATTAGTATTACTTATTGAATTAGCTGAAGTTTATTGAATCTTCATTGCCGAGTACAGCTGCCTTTGAGTAGTTTTTCTTAATCTATTACAATTGTAAATGAATGGGAAAAGCGAGCGACCGATTTCATTCTCGGTATCATTTTGCATTTGAGAACGGTCAATCAAAGTAATATCATTTCCTTTTGTTTGGGAAAGAGAGACACTGACAGCGGTCCACTCTACCCATGATTATGGGTTTTGGTAAAATATCATCTCTTTTTGATTATAATGTCAGGGTACTTTATAAAGTCGAAATATAAACTGATATCTTCATTAATAAGGAGGAAGTTTCAACGATTTCGAAATCTATCCTTTAAAAACATTTCCTTGTGTTTAGGGAAGCATATCGGTCGATCACTGACTGAATATGCCACTTAATACTCATTCAAGTTGGCATTAAATTCATATATAATGACATTAAACTGTCGTGGCAAAGCAGAATTTGTTGGAAATCACGAATGAGCAAAATTCTCACCTTTCGCACGTGCAAACTTTGAGCAGACGTTGCGTGCGCATCCAATATTGAATCGCCGTAAATTTTTGCATGTAATTGTTTTATATATAGCTTGATAAGCATGCAAAGTTTCAAAGTATTTTAAGAAGAACTGTAATCACAACGGCACTCTAAAGTTGACAGAAAATGACGAAAACAGCAATTTTCAGTGATTTTAGCGATTTTCTATCAATTTGGGCGTGTCCCAACGTGTGCAACTTTTCGATTTTCAACTTTAAAACTAGCCTATGACACAATTTATACCTATAGGAAGCAGAACTGAGCTCCACAACCCAAGGCATGGCCCAACACCAGAGAATACTAAATCGCAAAATTGACGTTTTTATAAAATAATTCTTCAAAAAAGCACAAACTTCAATGACGAATATCTTTATGAAGGAGCAAGCTAGAAAAACTTTCCGGTAGATTTTCAGAATGCTTGAACAATTATCTAAGATGAAATTTTCCTCAGATTTTGAATAAAATTACTCCTTAATGGTTTAAAATTAATTTTAAAAGTTATTACTTTGTCAAAAATCAAGTTTTAAAAACGGTTAACTTGATGACGTCATCAAGGGGTGTTTATGACGTCATATAATTTTTGTATACAATGTAAACTAAAGTATAAACAATTATTTGCAAGACCTGTGGTCGGAAATGGCTGTATCTTTTATACTTTTAAATCTATGGACAATTAAATACAGGCTACAATTGACTGGCAAAGCGTCTATCCCTGAATATATATATATATGTATATATGTATCACGACAATCTATCGTAAAACAGGGGTTCTAGAAAACCCACTTCCCGATGCTCCTGAAACCTGAAACTTTTTTTGCAGTCGATTTGGTCAACGTCTAGACGCCCTGAAAAATTTCAGATCTCTAACTCAATTTTAACATGGTTTTTAAGGCACCTGAATATGGCGATTTTGGGTTTTTTACCGAATTTCGTATAACAGTGCTGGCGAGTATTTTATGCAAATTTCTTAAAAATCTCAACATAACTATTTTTTATTCCTGTCATCTTTGACATCAAATTAGAATGTTTTGAACTAAAAATAAATCTGCTGAACGACTTCCGATGAGTCTTAATGCCTGAAAAACGCCTCCGGCCGGAGTGCACGCTTCGCGTGCACGAAAGAGGCTTGTAACGTGTACCAAAGGGGGTATAATAGTAAAGGGGGTATAATAGTAAAGGGGGTACATAGTATACCCACAATAAATGCACCGGTCGTGCTTGCCAGCACTGTGATATTGGAAATAACGAGTCTTTTCAAGAAAAAGACTCGTGTAAAAAGAAATGTAGAATCAACTTTATTGATAAACATTTAATTAATTTCATCGATGTAGAAAGATCAGAAATTTAGTTTTTACAAAAACTGTTTAGAGTATAAATGTTTTAAAGGAACATATTGATATACGGGTAAACCGCCCCTAAAATGTCACCCACCCCTAAACCGCCACTCTTGATTGATTGGATCCCATCTTCTTAGAAAGTATCTTACCTAATCATTTGTAACTCCTAAACATAAAAAAATATCATTCAGACCCTGCCACATCCTGAAATTGAATCTAAATGATGCCATAAGGGCATTTTTTTCACTTTGTACGAATTTTTTACTTTTGAAAAAAAGCGCACAATTTTATAACTCTGGAATTCATTAATATTAACTCGGTTTTGGTCTAGGATAGTGATATTTACATATTTTAGCAACTTTGTACATATGACTGGAGATATGGAAAGTTATACATTACTCAATATTACTACCCTCCCCTAAAATGTCACCTGGCCGTCCCCTAAAATGTCATTTTATCAGATTCTGGCTTTGAGACTACAAGCACCATAAAATGGAGGACGGAGGTACCAGCCTATTAAATATTTAGCATCTAATGGTAATATTGGAAAGCTTTGGCAGCTCAAGGAATTAGTTTTATTTTATTAATCGCAATAAACATCCCCTGAAATGTCTAATTATCCCCCCTAAAATGTCATTTTAACCTGATCAAATTACTCAGGCTTTTCCTAAGATGCAATGCATACTCACATTTCGTTAATAGTTGATGTTAATAATTAACAAGTGCCAAAACAAGAGCACACCATGCGAACAAAATACAAATTTGACATTTTAGGGGAGAAAAAAATGACATTTTAGGGGGCATATCATAGGTTTACCATAAACTAGTAAGTACCAAAAACCGTAGTTTTTGAGATTCAATTTTGCTAAAAGCAGTCAAATCTAGTCTATAGAGAAGGTCAGATCGATTACTGGGTTGGATTAGTTAACTACAGGTCACTAAAATTGCCAAAATGCAGGATGATGTTAAAAATCCCAAAAAATGCAATTAAAACATGCAATTTGCACAAGGTTAAAATCACATTGAATCCATTTCATTTGTGCCAATTGTTAGTTTATAACTAGATAATCTAACTACAGGTGTAAATTTTGTTGACTGAGTTACTGTTTTGCCGTAAGTTCTGGGTATTCAAAAAAAAGTCCCCAAAATGTCACAAAAAGTAAATTGACTAAATTCCACCATTTTTTTTTTCAACAGATAGAGAAACTCTGGTCGACACCTCTCAGAAATAGATTATATTTGTCCCAGAAGTGGTTAAAATTAATAATTGAGCAACATTCTGAGTGCTACACAACCTGTTTTAGCTGACGTTTTAGGGGTGGTGCACGTGACATTTTAGGGGGTGATTACGGTTTTGGGGTACTTCCTTTAGTGAGTGAATGTTTTCAAGTAGCTTAATGTTTTAATAAGACAAAACAAATAGTACTAGTGACAAAAGATAAATCAGGCCTCCTGTACATTTTGTAATTATCACACATATAGAGTTGACATTTTAGGGGTGGTGTTTTAAAAGTGACTCCATTTCAACATCAAAAAAATTGTACCTGATTTTATTTTCAAATTTCCAAATCTTCCTGGCAGGCTAGAAAAAGGTTTAAATATTATTCCTAGACACTTCAGAACCCTGTAAATTTAGCCCTAACTCGGCAATCTGGGCCCAAAAAACAGGTGACGTTTTAGGGGCGGTTTACCCGTATTGGTATTTTTCAATATGTAATTCACATATAATACCGCATTCAGAAATGCAGTATTTTCAACCCCCCCCTCCCCAAAAAGAGAGATGACTGCCGGTTAAATGGAAAATGTATCGCTTCGTAGTACTTTTTATTATTAATTAACCTGACTTCACAGACTGGAGACACAGACACATACCTCACTGAGAATGAAGACACAGAAACATACCTTGCTGAGAATGAAGACACAGACACATACCTCACTGAGAATGAGTCTAAGAAGAGATAATACGGACACGTACATTTAAAGATTTAGAAATGAGAAGCAAAAACTGGGCACAGAAAATTGAAACAAGACAAGATCCGCTGAATTTAAGATATTTAAAAATTGTGAAGATGATTTTCTTCAAAGCTTGAGTTTGAGAAGGAAAGATTTTTGATTAGTAATCAGGGCCAGGCTCCTCCCTTCCCCCTCCACAATCATTTCACAACCTCTCCTCGACTGATTACATTATATGTGAACTACCCCTTATTAAAAGTTTTTATTTAACACGTTTATCATTAAAAAATGTGTAATAAGCTAATTTACATATAAATAAACTGAAAACCGTTCTGCTTTCTACAGTCTTTATTTTATTGTTAACCACTACTGTTTATTATATTAATAGATTCCAACATGCACCCATCCTACAACAACCTCTCCCTCTCAGCTCTACATCTTAGATTTCACCAGGCTCTGATAAAGCTTGGTCAGGTTATTGCAGTATTTGATGTGAGACGGTGCGTCCTTCTTTTTACACTCTGTTGAACAGTAGGGGTGCTTACATTTCTTACATCTGAAACAAGTAGAAAGTGTTGAGTAATCGGGATTTAGTAAACTAAAAAAAGTAAAGTTGGAGACACATCATTTAAAATTGAAATTCAGAACAGGATAGTTGAAACCATGCTATCATTGAAAACTCTCAACTATTTTAGAAAACTTCTCATCAGAAAATCTAATTACCGATATTGTAGCTCACCCCCCCCCCCCCCCCCCCCCCCCCCCCCAGCTCATGATAAGTAACCACTAGTTACCACTAGTTACCACTAGTTACAAATTGAATTACCGATATTGTAGCTCATGATAAGTAACCACCAGTTACCACTAGTTACCACTAGTTACAAATTGAATTACCGATATTGTAGCTCATGATAAGTTTTGTCGTCCTCCTCCTCTGAAGTACAACACACCACACAAAACGGAGGATACTGCATGTTCTTATAATGCTGAATATACCTGACGAGAATACTGTTTTTAGAATGTTTTATTCTGGCCCAATTTGTGGAGCTATCTCAACAGTTTGTGTCTCAACAAAGCCTCAATCATCAATTTGAAAGTTGTCCTATTGTACAATGTACTTGTATGACTGACGCATGCTTCTTACCATATTATATACATTTCGGCCCATTTTATATGTTTGTTCGGTTTGCTGTATATTTGCTATTTTGTAAAAGTTTTATATCAAATCATATTTCCAACTTTTAATAAATGTCACTGACCAATTAATTAATTAATTAATTAATTAATTAATGTCACTGACCTGGTGAGACACTCGTAATAATATCCAGTAGCTAGTTCTTTAAACTGCTCGTGCCTTATTACGATTAATATGTTCTGTAGGGCGGGGCCCCATTGCTTTAGGTTCACTAGAGCTTTTACTCTCTGGAACCTTACTTTTGTATCTCGTCGCGTCTGTGGGCATTTTAGTAAGCTTTAGGAACTGGGAACTTGACTTTTTGGGCTCATAAGAGATTTATCAACAATGTCAAAATGTTGGATAATAAAGGTAGAAAGTGGATTGAAGCTAGAAATATGTTATCTTTGAAAGTACTAACCAGGGTGTCCTCATCCTTCCTCTCCTCTATAATATCCCAGTAATCCTGCTCAGTCCCCTCTAGTAAACAACGTAACTCTCTCAGAGCTAGAGTAGCGTCCACTATAGCGTCCTCATTCCGACTTAGTTCTAGGTTGGAGCTGACCCTGAAGAGGAAGTTAGGTTATCATTCCGACTTAGTTCTAGGTTGGAGCTGACCCTGAAGAAGAAGTTAGGTTATCATTCCGACTTAGTTCTAGGTTGGAGCTGACCCTGAAGAAGAAATTAGGTTATCATCTGCTGGTTTATTGGTTACAAGAGGACAAGTGAGGGTGACTAGTGAGCAGGACTGATAGTTTGGAACACTTCACCATGGTTACCACCATAGTTACCACCATAGTTACCATAGTTACCACCATAGTTACCATAGTTACCATAGTTACCATAGTTACCATAGTTACCATAGTTACCATAGTTACTAAGTTACTAAGTTACCATCTAGTTACCATAGTTACCATAGTTACTAAGTTACCATAGTTACCATAGTTACCACCATAGTTACCATAGTTACCATAGTTACCATAGTTACCATAGTTACTAAGTTACTAAGTTACTAAGTTACTAAGTTACCTGTTACTTCTACAGTTAGTGAGGAGGTTCTCAATATCGTACTGTACCTCCGGGTTATCATCGTACTCTCCATGACACCTGTAATTAATTATTTAATTAGTGACACCTGTAGTTAATTATTTGATTAGTGACACCTGTAATTAATTATATAATTAGTGACACCTGTAATTAATTATTTAATTAGTGACACCTGTAATTAATTATTTAATTAGTGACACCTGTAATTAATTATATAATTAGTGACACCTGTAATTAATTATATAATTAGTGACACCTGTAATTAATTATTTAATTGAAAAATAACAACAAAATTAACCAAAGTTGTCTTGCTCATAGTGCTGAAGTATTGCAGTGTAGTAATAATTGTAGTAGTAGTGCTGCAGTATTGTTGCCAATCAAGTACGCCCAGTACAGGGTTTCAGAGCAACTGAATGTTAAGACTTTTCTCGAGTGGTAATGGAGAAGGGCCAAGTTATTTAACTGATATCCCCTTAAGGGTCAATTAAGGTTTTCCAGTATCTTAATATGATCTGTTACCAAAGAATCAAACTAACAAATTTGGCTCTAAAATCAGCCTTCAGAAGATCTTATACGGAATGAAACACTAAAAGTTATAACTTATAGCTGTTAGAACAGTGACTGAAGGACTAAAATAGTAATATGTATTAATTTAAACATTGCCAAGGATACCTTACACCAAATATATACAGTATTTTATCATACACCTGTGTCAGATTGCAGAGCGCTTACAATTCATAATTTAATAGCCAGAAATAAGCCGGAATTAGACTCATGTTACAGAGTTCCATGCTCACAACCAAATATTTTTAACAGAATACTGGTATATATAAAACTTTTGTTCCGTTAATCTGGGGTGCATTTATACGCTGAGTGAGTTGAGTGCGGTAATTCTCCAGCATTCGAAGGTCCGCCCCGGGCACTGCGCGGCTTGTCACCCCTCGGCAGTGGGCGGCCACCCATCCGCCGACGGAAGGGCAACCGAACAGTTCCCGGAGCAGCCCGGAGAGTGCTGGCGGGCTGCCAATGTTAACTCTTCACGGTATGAAAGGTGTTCCCCATCGGGTGACCCGTACATGGCACAGATAAGACAGTGCATTGGCAATGCCTGTCTTGGATCGTGGTGTATGGGTCACTCTTTTAAACAACTTCTCTTGTATAGATTCAGTTACATTATTGTTTATAAACGATAACTTTTAAGTGCATTGACCTAGACTTTTAACATCTGGCTCTGTCACTGACAGAACATTTCAGGACAATGAACTCAGAATGCTAACATTTCGTAGTGTAATGACCAGAAATTGGTATTAACATATTATGTTACTGAGTAGTAGCCTACTCACAAGGAAATATTTTCTACAGAATGCTAGTATAAATACAACTTTTGCACAATTCACTCGGGGAGTATCTATACGCTGTTGAGAGGCTCATCCGTTGCCCGTGTTCTCTCGCTGTCCAGGCCGGGGGTCGCGCGCCCCCCCTCGCTCGGAGCTGGGCGGCCACCCAGCTCCCAGTTCGGCGGTCGCACCTCAACCCAGCCCGGGCGCTTGAGGGACGGAGCCGCGGATGTGCCCTCTCAACGGTATGCAAGTTGCACCCTATCGGGTAACCTGTACATGACACGAATATCCTCAGAGTGAGTATTTGCGTCGGATGCTTCTCTAGGATCGTGGTGTATGGGAGACTCTTTTATACAACTGTATCGAGTCGGTTCAATAACGATAAGTGTAGATAATTATCATCACGATCTGTCAAATACCAGTACCACTTTATAACTTAGAGCTGGGACACAACCTTAGAAAATCAAAATGCCACGGTTTGAGAAGCACTATCGAAAAATATAATACTAAAAGGGTATCAAAATAAACTAATGAAAGATAATAATGTAGTAAGATGAAACGACAAAGTATTCTATAAATATATAAGTTCAAGTTATCGATTGAATTAATAACTTATATTAAAGTCGTTATTGTAACGGTATATTAGAACCAGACAGAAACAAAGTGTGAAGGGCCTGAACGGAACCCCTCGGTTTCAGTTCCTTGTATTGTGTAACTTTAACTGTAATCATGGAAAAGATGGACTTGGAAAGTATTAACTACAGGTGGGATGAGATTTATTCTTGGAGCAAAGAGCAGTTGCGGAACTTTGGCAAACCGTACGGAAAGATGACGGACATAGCAGATCCGAAGTTTGCGAAATCAGTGAATAAGCCAGAACTTGTTGGTCGGTCTTATGAGTACATTGGCTATTTAATGGAAACTGTGGAGTCGTACCGAAATTGCTGCACAACTCTTCAGGCAAAGTTGATTCAGAACCAGGAAACTCTCATCAGCGTTCAGCAGGAGCTCTCTCAGTGTCAGTCCGAGAAACTGGAATCTATGAAGAAAATCGTGGAAACCTCAGTCGCTGATTCAGTTAAAGAGGAGATTAAGACTTACAGCGCAATTGTCAGCAATTCACAGACGGTAACTGCCCCAGTTATCTGCCCAGAAGCCCTAAAAAATGTTGTGAAGACCGTAGTCGCAGAAGAGGACCGTAGTCGAAATCTTCTTGTTTTCGGTTTGCCGGAGGAGGAGCAGGAAGAGTTAGAGGTAAGAATCGGCGAGGTTTTAGAGGAAATAGGGCAGAAACCGAAGGTGGAAGTAGAGCGACTCGGCAAGAAGAAAACTTCTACCTGTACTCGCCCAGTGAAAGTCTGCCTGACCAGCTCCTTGATCGTACATCAAATCTTAGCAAACGCTCGGAAATTGCGACAATCAGCCAAGTTTAAGACTGTGTTTTTGAGCCCTGACAGATCACTGGAGCAGCGGGAAGCCCGAAAGGAGCTGATTGCCAGCATGAGAGCTAAAGCTTTAGCGGAGCCGGACAAAAAGTTTTACATTAAGGAGGGACAGATATTCAGCTGTAGTCGCAATTGAGTGTATTTATCAGTACATGTGTGATAATGCTTGTTTTTCAGTGTGAGTGAAGTTTTAGTTAGTGCTAAGCGGGTGCCTACTAGGCTTTTAACTTTCTATACAGGACTGGATAGTCTTCAGACTGTTTTAAAGCTTATTTTTAGTGCAAGAGTTGGTTGCTAGGCATTGCATTTATCTAAGCAGCGCCTGTATTCAATAATTAATGAAATCTTATTAGCGGATTTAGGTATATAATTATTGTATATATTATTGTATGTATAAATTCTTGAGTAAACATTAACCAGTAAACAAAGCTGGTTCCCAATCAATCATAACACTGCCGTACAGCAAGGACATTCGTATCACTTACATATCAGTATCACTTACATATTAAATATACTCATTACACATTACACATTTAAGTTTTAACATTTCTCATAAGTATTGGTGGTCGATATGAAGGATATTCTATGCTGCATAAAGCATTCAATCCCTCACAGGATTAAGGACAATGAACTCAGAATGCTAACAATTCGTAGTCTAATGACCAGAAATGAGTAGAACATATTACTTTGCAGAGTAGTAGCCTACTCACAACGAAATATTTTCCACAGAATACTAGTATAAATACAACTTTTGCACAACTCACTCAGGGAGTATCTATACGCTGAGTCGAGGGTGGGGTGCAGCAGTCCCCAGTACTCGAAGGTCCGCCTTAGTCATTGCCCGTCCTCCTAGTCCTCAACGATGAACGGTAGTAGGTTTGAAATACTAGTTAAACCTACGTCCGCGCGTTTCCGGGGCGGGCTGGAGAATGCTGGCAGGCTGCCAAAGTCAACTCTCCTCGGTATGCAAGGTGCACCCTATCGGGTAACCTGTACATGACACGGATATTCTTAGAGTGAGTACTTGTGCGGGTACCTCTCTGGCAAGGATCGTGGTGTATGGGAGACTCTTTTATACTTTTATACAACCTTTCAGGAATTCAAAAACAACAGCAAAAATGTAATAAGTAAATAGTGGTTAGGTTTTAACTTACTTGAGTTTGAGATCCATTAGCATATCAATTGCTTTATCGTATTCCACTAATGCCAGCTGGAACTCTTTATTTTTATGAAACGAATTTCCTGGGAATAAATTGTTGAGCTATATAATATCACAATGACAACTGATAGATATGCATGGTAATTAAGCGGTTGTTCATGGTACTGGTAGTTGAACACATAGAAATGATAATTCTAAGGGGTTATACTTATATGAAACGCTCACCTCTTATTTTAACTTGATCAATTTTATTAATATCATTTCTAACGGACTGTCTGGATCCCCCGTATCTGAGAGCATTTTTAACAGCGTTAAGAGGTTTGACCACCATATCCCAGTATTTTGTGTAGATAGAGTGGTAGAGCGGCATAAGTTTGCCTATTTCTACTTTTTCGTTCTGGTAGGTAACTTCTAGACAACCACAGTCTGCTGTGAAGGGAACTTCGTATGATACCTGGTGGTGATTGAGGTTGTCAGAGATCAGTCCATTAGTAGTCATATTCATGTATCATGATAATCTAATGTCTTTATTAAAGTGACATTGACATAGTAGTAGTATAGCTCTTTCTTTATAATTTTAGATTCAAACCAACGACTCCTATTTCAACAACTCAAACTAACACCTTAAAACCAACTCTAACGAACACCTTAAAACCAACTCTAACTAACACCTTAAAACCAACTCTAACTAACACCTTAAAACCAACTCTAACTAACACCTTAAAACCAACTCTAACTAACACCTTAAAACCAACTCTAACTAACACCTTAAAACCAACTCTAACTAACACCTTAAAACCAACTCTAACTAACACCTTAAAACCAACTCTAACTAACACCTTAAAACCAACTCTAACTAACACCTTAAAACCGACTCTAACTAACACCTTAAAACCAACTCTAACTAACACCTTAAAACCAACTCTAACTAACACCTTAAAACCAACTCTAACTAACACCTTAAAACCAACTCTAACTAACACCTTAAAACCAACTCTAACTAACACCGTAAAACCAACTCTAACTAACACCTTAAAACCAACTCTAACTAACACCTTAAAACCAACTCTAACTAACACCTTAAAACCAACTCTAACTAACACCTTAAAACCAACTCTAACTAACACCTTAAAACCAACTCTAACTAACACCTTAAAACCAACTCTAACTAACACCTTAAAACCGACTCTAACTAACACCTTAAAACCAACTCTAACTAACACCTTAAAACCAACTCTAACTAACACCTTAAAACCAACTCTAACTAACACCTTAAAACCAACTCTAACTAACACCTTAAAAACCAACTCTAACTAACACCTTAAAACCAACTCTAACTAACACCTTAAAACCAACTCTAACTAACACCTTAAAACCAACTCTAACTAACACCTTAAAACCAACTCTAACTAACACCGTAAAACCAACTCTAACTAACACCTTAAAACCAACTCTAACTAACACCTTAAAACCATCATACCTCAGCAGGGACTAGATCGAAGAGAAGAGGGTTACAGTTGGCGTTATCTTTCAGCCACTTTACCCAGAATCCCACCAGTTGACTACTGGCGTGTTTAGATACGAGTCTAGTTATATTGTTCAGGGTAAAGGCCTGACTGCCCGCGTCAAAGTAGGGGTTTATCTTGTTTTCTCCGATTGTACGCAGGAAGAGTTGAGCTGTACCAATGGGTAGCGCCTGTAGTTTGTCTGGAATACGAGTATGTACGTTACTAATGGTTACCAATCACCATGGTAACCAATAACCTTGGTGTTAGGTCAGGATAAGTTACTGTACAAATGAATAATGCTGCCTAAAATGAATAGCGGAGCGACAAAATAATCCCAACAATTACTCACTGGAGGTAATAATCTCAACAATTACTCACTGGAGGTAATAATAGATAGGGCCATCTTGTGGTAAAATTCGTAGAAGTTGCTGACGACTGTATTAGCGGTATTTACAGCCCTGTAGCTCTCAACCAACTGTAGGTTATCCGTCCGTCCGGCTGCAATATGTTAACAATAATACCACATAAGGTAACATAGCTATAAGATAACATTCCATTACATTATTCAATCCAATACGATTTAAAACTCTCACAAAGTGTCCCATCCGCGCTATTATCCCAAGTTGATGATTATTATGTCGAACTTAGGTATCTGTTGTATTTTATTTATCCGTTATATTTTACCGTAGCTATGATATCTATGATACTAGAAGCCCACATTTATCAAGTTCCCTAAGTTTAATAACCAATGACATATCAACTATAATGTATATATTTGATAAATTTTTCTCGACATTTAACGTACCCAAAAAATACTTAAAGTTTTGAAAAGACAATTAATTTACAATACATTTATTTACCTAAAAGTAGAGTATTCTTGATGTTATAATAATGATTACCTAAAAGTAGAGTATTCTTGATGTTATAATAATGATTACCTAAAAGTAGAGTATTCTTGATGTTATAATAATGATTACCTAAAAGTAGAGTATTCTTGATGTTATAATAATGATTACCTAAAAGTAGAGTATTCTTGATGTTATAATAATGATTACCTAAAAGTAGAGTATTCTTGATGTTATAATAATGATTTACCTAAAAGTAGAGTATTCTTGATGTTATAATAATGATTTACCTAAAAGTAGAGTATTCTTGATGTTATAATAATGATTTACCTAAAAGTAGAGTATTCTTGATGTTATAATAATGATTGAGGTCCGCCAGACAGTGTACGAACTGTACGATAGTGTCGTCTCCTTCAGTAGTGTTGTAGAGCATGGGGAGCGCGTCCAGTACTACTCGGGAAATCAATCTGTACAGGCACACACGATTAACAACAACATTAACAACATTAACAACATTAATAACACAGACTTAACAACAACAGTCTACCCGATTTAACAGAAAAAACTCAGTTTAATCAAGCACTAATTTCAATATTGAGCTAATTTCAACATGTTATACTTTATCACCTGGTGCCGTATTTACCTGGTGCCGTATTTACCTTGTGCCGTATTTACCTGGTGCCGTATTTACCTGGTGCCGTATTTACCTGGTGCCGTATTTACCTGGTGCCGTATTTACCTGGTGCCGTATTTACCTGGTGCCGTATTTACCTGGTGCCGTATTTACCTGGTGCCATATTTACCCGGTGCCATGTTTACCTGGTGCCGTATTTACCCGGTGACGTATTTACCTGGTGCCATATTTACCCGGTACCATATTTACCTGGTGCCGTATTTACCTGGTGCCGTATTTACCTGGTGCCGTATTTACCTGGTGCCGTATTTACCTGGTGCCGTATTTACGTTCCTTTACTTTGTCCATAAGAAGCCGGGATGTTTTGAGGACCTTATCGTTAAACAACAAGACCTCAAACTTATTAAGAGTGTTCGCTCTGAAGGTAAGTAGTCCAACAAATAGACAGGGAACCAAAGCAGACCAGGACCCTTGGCTGAAGTCTGCTGTTAGGAGGAATATTACCTGAAAGGGAGGACGTTAGGAAAGTGGAATTAGCGGCTGAGTCAGTCAGCAGCCAAGTCAGCAGCCACTTCCTGACTTCCAGCCTGACGGAGGCGAAATTATAGAAAATCATACATAGATGTCCATCAACTGATTAATAAATTAACAATCAGTATAATTGAAGTGAAGGAAACAATATAAACCCACGTGGTCTAACAACCCTGAGTCGTTCATAAACTCCCGGAGATCTCTTGGCGAGGTGCCAGTACCAGTAGAGGCCGTGTCTTTCCACCAGTACCGACTGATTATACCGGTCACGTAGTCCAGCATCTTATACCACATCTGTCCTGTGCTCAGTCTCATGGTCTCCTGAAGGAACGTTTAACAGGATCACCAGGAAGAAGAGGGAGATTACTTATGGTAATACTGGTAAGTTTAGTCGTACGACGTCAACTGAAACAAGGGCTAGGTTGGGATTAAATTTTGATTATCATAATCACTTTTATAATGTTCATTTGTAAACCTTACTTCGGACAGAAGGTTGTAAAGAGCGCTGAGAGCAATAACAGCGTTGTGAACCTTACCTCGGACAGAAGGTTGTAAAGAGCGCTGAGAGCAATAACAGCGTTGTAAACCTTACCTCGGACAGAAGGTTATAAAGAGCGCTGAGAGCAATAACAGCGTTGTAAACCTTACCTCGGACAGAAGGTTATAAAGAGCGCTGAGAGCGATAACAGCGTTAGGAGATGTGACCCCCTTTGTAGAGGGCAGATGAGGAGACATCATGTGTTCTGACATGTACTCCCAGTGCTCTAAGCTCACTCTCATGAGGGCTGGTGGTAGTTTACTCTCGTGTCTCTGGGGGGAGGGAGGCGGTAACATCTGCCAGATCTCTTATGGGTAGATAACTGTACTTTATTGTGTGGTTCTGAGGATTTAGTCGTATTTTCTATCATTGTTATATAATGAGAAGTTCACTTTTTCTGTCTTTTACCTTTCTTTTATCAGTTTTAATCTCGATTGTCACAGCAAACTCAAACATCTTCCCCTTGTTTGTCTTTGCTGCTTTCAGTTTCTGAGATCATAATTTATCAGTTGGATGGGGAAACAAGTTTGAAAACTCTCATGTTTGATTTAAGAAGATGTCAAGTGAAGCTATGAAAATGTAAATTGAAAAAAAAACAATGAATACGAATACTAACGATTAAAAACTGAACTTACAGTATCAGAAATACAATCAGGCAGCACAAACATCTTCTGGGATTGCCTAAAATACTGAGTTTTAGTAACCGCACTGATAGGGTTAGGACCACTGAAGCGGATGCTGGCGAATATCTCCGAGTCTTCCTGGCAGAGTGCCCCGGGAAAATAGCACTTTATAACCACGTCATATGAGACTGAGTTGGAGAACAAGTTGTGGGGCTCCAAGTGAATAGACCTGAGAAAGTGAAAGTGGAAGTTAAGGGTCTTTCAGATCGAGTGGAGAACAATTTATGGAGATGCAAAAGAATAAACCTGGGGAAGGTATAGTTTGTACAGTTTGTTCCAACCGTAAGAAGACAAAAAACATCCCTGATATGATAAAAACACATTAATAATCACAAACAAAAAGCTCACCTACCAAGGAACATCCTTTACAAAGACAATAGAGTCTACAAAGAGTTTCTTGTTATCTGTGAGCTGTTTCATGGAGAACTCAAACTTGCACTGGCCGTACGGTGACGTATCTGAGAAACAAGTTCTTATAAATCAGTTAGATAAAAGCTATTAGTGGTGCTCTCATTTCACAGTGGGCTCTCATTTCAGTGATTAAGTTATTTGAAGCAGTGGACATCCCAAATTTCTGTGCTTTGACGGAGATAATTACTCCAATCTATATTATTTAAATTCAAAATAAAGATTTACAAGATATACCTGGAACCCTCTTGAGGAGTTTGTTAAATGAACGTATCTTGGTGGACGATTCATTCTCTTTTCGGATTTGTTTCTTTAAATCCTTGAGGAACAATTTCACGGTCTCACCGTTGCTTGACACAGCGCTGGCCATGGCTATAATATATATAATACAATCAAGCTTGAAACGGAGGCGTTAAAGAAGAAGATAAAGAATTAATCTTTAAGAAAAATCATTAAAACTGTGTACATCTTAAAATGCTTGTGTCTACAACTTTAACCGTTAGAAAAGGAAGCCAACAATTAAATTACAGTAGGAAGGAGAGGAAATTTTCATTAACTTCTGCTATTTTCATTACTGTAAGTAAACATCTGTAAACATCTGAAAATTTAATTCGCTAAGAGACATAATAAAACCCAAGTTAGGTTATAAAACAATAAATTATCAGAGTAGTAAAAACGATAATTTGCTCTCTTTTTTAGCCTTACATTCTCAACATTTACTTTACAATTCTTAAAAAGAAATAGAACTCTTGAGGATACTAATCCAACAAAGGAATACAGCTAAAACTATGAAAGACTAGTACTCAAAATTAACAATGATTCGATAACATAAGTTTGCAAGTTTTTATCTCTTCTTCGAAATGTCCCGTAATTATAAACTGAATAGTATAATATTATCTTAAAGTAACCATCCAGGTCACAAAAATGGCCCAAAAAGAAAACTTGTTTACGGTTCTGGAATAGAGATTTGAGACCCAATCGAGGACAACTTTGGTACAAAGGATCAAATGTCTCAAGTAAGCATATCTCTAATCTCCTGATTTAAATGAATGATCAAGTAAACGATTCTTAATCTGCTGAACTTTCATTCTGTTCTAGGTTCAATTCGGTGGGTCCTATCACTCAACCGAGCAATCAAACCGACGACCTCAACGGACCATCCCAAAAGTTTAACAGTGTAAAATGAAATTTCCGCTCAAAAATAATTTTCTTATTTCAACATTTAAAAGCTGTTTCTAATAATCACCACATTTTCCCCCTCCCCAGAAAGGTATCAGACAACCCTAAGTCTGGGGCTCAGCTACCTTGCTGACAAGCAGAAAGGGAGGGATGCTGACGTTAATAAACTTCCGGTCCTCCCGCTCAAACAAGTAGGTGCCCCACATGTGCCCTGCACTGGACCTCAGACTGACCAGAGAACTGTACTGGAAACACTGCCCTGATTTCAGCATTGGCTCCTGAGGTGTAATTAGCATGTGATTAGGATGAGGTGTAATTAGCATGTGATTAGGATAGAGGTGGAATTAGCATGTCATTAGGATGAGGTGTAATTAGCATGTGATTAGGATAGAGGTAAAGGAGTAGTAGTCAATTTAAGGGATTCAGATGGTTTGTTGAACTAATTTATCACTTATAAAACAAAGAGTGATGAAAGTGTGAAAGACTCATCATCAAATTGCTGAACTTTACGGTGATACACGTGATGCCCATATAAGGTCAGATACACGGTGTACACATCTGATTTATCAAGGATCGTTGCAATTATAGGTCCTATGTTTATAAGGTCTCATTGGTTTCAGAGCACTGATTAAGTTTCACTAACTTTCGCAATGTAAATTAAAACATTGCCTGGTATTTCTCTTAGACACAAAATGTGTGTGAAACCTTAATTAGTTTACAGGACAGTACAAATAATACTACATAACACGAATGATTGGAGATAAAATTAGAGATGAAATCTGTAGAATGTAGAATGTAGAATGTAGAATGTAGAATGTACAATGTACAATGTACATGGTATGTGTGTAGTGTGTACTCATAAAGTGACAAATACTGGCACTAACTCTCACCTGGCCGACGACCCCTTTGCCAGTGACCGACTCTTTGTTGTCAGCATTGCTGAAAATACACCAAGTTCTCTCCCGTAGCTGCACGGTTATGTCCCCCACATTCTCCATTAAAATACTGTACCTCCACCAGTGCTCTTTATTTGGTGTCTCCGACTGTAGAAATAGAGTTCGGGTCAAACTGGGTAATTTGGTCTCTGATTCCTAGGAAGCGGTGGGTCTCCGGGAACATTGCTAGGTACAGTAAAACCCCGATTTACAGTAAAACCCCGATTTACCGCGGAATTTGGGGAAAGGAAACATCCGCGGTAAATCGGGGTTTTTAAAAAATTTACATTATAGATGTTAAGCCCTATTTGGGGGAAAGAAGATGGCCGCGGTATATCGGGGTTTGCGGTAAATTGGGGCGCGGTAATTCGTGGTTTTACTATACTAGGGCCGGAGAGTATTAGTATACTTTCGAAGCAAGTTGCAAATCAGCGAATGTAATTTTATTTTTAATTTAAGATTACAAGGGTCCTTAACTCGCGTGTACAGGAAAAGGAAGTGCCACTACCAAATGGAGTGACTGCATAAGTTATCATGTTATTCTTGATTTTCACAACAATTAATATTGCGCATGTGGCATGACGTCTCTAATTTCTCAACAAGGATGATAGTTGATACTTGATACCATACCCGCAAATATTTGTTTCAACCCGGCAACGAGAGGCAGCTCGGTGCGAGGATCAGTAGGTTATAAGTCTACAACTAATCCCACTTTAACAACAGGTTTGAATGACATGCCGCATGCCTGTTTTATTTAGAGTATGTGACAATATATTTCGTAGTAAATAAAACGCGCGCGCGCGCGTAGTACGCGTTGATCCAGCGCTAGAAATGCTATTTTAAGGTCGGAGCGCGTTACAAATCAGCTACCGCAATATTAATCATTGCCATTGACACAGTGCGCGCGCACGTGATACAACAGCAAAAACGGATGAAACTGAAAGTCTTTATTTCAAGCAATTTCAACAGATTTGAATCAACATACCCTGCATCCCATGTAAAAACTGTAAACAGTTATCTTAACACCATTGGTAGTTTGACTGTGAACGTCCCTCAATCGCAAGCAGTCAAAGTTGTCTTCATGGAACTGATGCAGCATGTTCGTTGAGTAATAAGAAGCCAATCCATCTGGGAGAGGATATCTTTAGTTTATAAACAATTCGATGCATACTAATTTGTTGATTCTTGCCACAAATCGTGAGTGCTAACTATAAGAAAGACACTAGACAGTCAAATTCTAAATCCGTCGTACTTTGGTCGTTTTTCTTCTCCAGGAATTTCTGGAAGAGGTTATGCTGTATCGGATCTCTGATAGACTCGGAGTGCTCATAAGGCAGGACATCCTCGTGTGAAATGTAATCTATTCCAGGTATTGTGTAAAACTTGTTGTCAGAATTTTGTCCCAAGAACGTAATTCCTTCCCTCTGTGATACCTGATTGTTGTTAATATTTGTTAATCAGTCGATTAGTTAATTTTTAATAATTTAATTTTTAAATTGATTAATGATTGTATTATAATATAGTTAATTATATTCAATGATAGTTTGATAACTTGACAACTACATACGAATACAGTTGAAAGAAGGCAGTCAGCAACATACACGGCCAAACACATGGTAATAGTTAAAAACTTACGATGGGACAATCTCTGAAATCGAGTAGAACTTGATAATATATTAAAGTCTGATAGCTCTCCTTAGTAAATCCAGGGATATCGTCAACTTCTCCTTTCTTTAGCATACTGAAGTATTTTCTTTTCTTTTATACTGCTCATGTTAAAATGCGTTTAATTACCTCCATAAACTGTTGATACAACGCTATTTATAATTAATAAAAGAATTCACTCAATTACACTTTTTATAACATTCAAACCTATCAAATAGTGTTGGGAAAGCTTTGTTATTACGACTAAATAGACGAGCTACCCAAGGAAACAGTACAACGCCCCGATAGTCCAGTTTCTTGTGCAGAAACATCTGAAACAAACGTGAGTACAAAATACTGTAATAATTATTACTTTACGTAAGTACAGAAAACTATTATTATTCTTATCTTTAGGCACACCTCTTACTTTAAGACCCAATCATTCATCATAACAACCAATGCAATAACTGTAGATTATATAAATTGTTTACTTTTAAACTATAAGTTTATTTAATTGGTTACTTTTTAACTATAAGTTTATTTAAGAACAAACAACAAACCTGCCCACAGTCATAGTTGCCAGTAACTTTAGGAGCAGTAAACTTGCCCACTTCAATAAGGTTGTAAGCAGTTGAGTTGCATCTTGCTAGTAATGCAGCGGGCAGAGCAGCGGGCAGAGCAGCGGGCAGAGTAGCGGGCAGAGTGCCCTTTGAACACGACCTGGCTAACTTGAACATTGTGTCATGTTATCTCCTAGTACCCTACTTCCTAGTAACAGAGCGGCATGTTTAGTTCCTGGTTATTTTGGGAAATGTTTATTGAAATTCCAGAGCATGATAGGTACTGTGAATTGTCATGTAAATTTCAAAAGACTTAAGATTCTATCAAATCAATAAATCAGCAAACTGTATTCTCTGTTGAATTTATTGAGGGTACTTGTAATTAATGAACACGCAATTGTTGTGATTATCTAAAAATAGATTTCATGAAATTCATAACCTCAATATAAAATAAATTACAAAAATTATAAACTCTACTGCAATAAGTTAAAGCCAAATTTTAAACATGTTAAAAATAATGCTAAGCATCGTGAATTGTACGTGATAATATGCAATGTAAGATCACCATTACTGACACTATACACGTGAAAAAGTTACCGTCACATAAAATATGCAGTTCGTCATCATAATAAAATGTCAACATGGCATCTGATAATGTGAGGTTAAAAATAATCCCAGTAATCAGTATCCTTAGTGACTAATCTGGCAAATACCTTCGACATACCTGGCGTTTTCCTAAAGTTAACAACACTTACACTTAGAAATTGACCTCCGGTGGTCCGGTGGTGTGCCACTTAATTAAACAAACAGTAACACATTTTACACAACTTAATGAACAAATATCTCTAATATTACAATAATTTCATTGATCAGACCCTGCCTGGCTTCATTGAGATAAGAACTTCCCCTGATTACACAGATTTCACAGATTCACAGTCTTCTCACTGCACAGTTGCTGTAACATATTCCTTCAGATTCCTCTCACTAACCTCATCAATCTTCTCAAACTCCACCACTTCAAAAAGCGACAAGTTGTTCTGTACAGTGTTCAACTGAACGGTGAACACGCCTGTTTTAAATGCCACCTCCTCCTGAAAAGTTTCCAGACCTTTCCTTAAAAACGCTTTTATCCCCGGGTTGGTCGCTCCGACAGGTTTCAACTTTTTAAACTCCTGAGACGTAAAGCCGATAAGTTTAGCCAGTAGTTTCTCACTGAGGCGAATGTTTTTAGTACCCGACCTGTCACTCAGCAGAGCTTGCGAGGTCCACTCTGGATCAGATCGGAGTTTAGAGGCGAGGCTGCAGATTGTGGCTCTTATCTTTACTGGGAATGGTAAGTTTGTGGTTAAACAGCTGATCGGTATTATATCTGGTGGTATTTCAGGAACTGACGGAATCTTCACTTTAGGTTCCTCTAAATCTGTAGTGAAATTTTCATCAGGTTCAAAGAACTCCTCAAAATCATCGTCAAGATCATGTTCGGTTATTTGTAGTTCACTAGATGAGGAAGGGTCTATTTTCAATCTCTTACTACTGTGTGACACAGAGTTAACTGAATGAGCTCTAGAAGGAGCTACTTTCGCAGAAACATTGGAATTATTGTGTGCCAGAGAAGGTTCCTGTCTTGAAGGAACTGTGTTGAGTTTCTGCTGAGTAGAGTGACTACGCTTTGCTGTATTCTGATTGGTAGGGTTATTAGTAGCAGTGTAAGGGTTGTGGGCGGTATTGGCACCTGATGTTACATTAGTCTGCTGATTTAGATTTGAAGTATTATTTCGAGCCTGATGGTTTGAGTTCACATTTGGATTAGAAGCATTAGCCTGAACACGATTAACAGAGTTAGAAGAAGGCACCTGAGGGTTTGTCTGGTCAGTATTGACCACCGTCACCTCCTCATCCTCCTCCTCCTCTCTCCCTCCTCCTCCCCCTCCATAGCACTCCTCAGCACTCTCTCCTGGGTGTACAACAACCGCAGTCTCTCCACACACCCTCCAATCAGCCTGAAGTTACCTGGTTGTAACAACAACACACCAATCCTAGCAGTAACGTTAGATACCAGGATCTTAGTTCCAGGGAGAAGGTTAACAGATAGCTGGGAGCAAGGTTTATACTCCATACCATTTACTATATTGGTACCGTCTGTCAGAGTTAAGAACAACATTCGGGAGGGTGCAGGACCGTTATACTGGCTGTTGTTCTGAGTGCTGTTCTGAGTGCTGTACTGGGTGTGTTTTGGGTGCTAGCTTCAGGCACTGGCTTCTCTGTTATCTTCTTCAACTGAGAGTAGAAGGAAGATCCAACATTAAAAACGGATTGTACCTGTAGTGTCAATGTTCCAGGTATCTCAATCTTAGCTCCACTCATAGTTGTTACATCAGAGGCAAACACTCCCCTCCTGTCTCCATGATATCTGTTGTTAGCCATTTCTTGTAGATCTGATCAGCTGTAAGTGGTTCTGAGGTTAACACCTCGCGTATCCAGGCGGTGTTAATTGAAACACCGTGGTGCTTGCTTTTCAGTTGATTGTGTGTGTTTTCAGCTGCACTTGAAACTGCGGGCACCATTTCCTGTTTCACATTCCTGGTGATACAGAGATTTATAATGAATACATTGTCCAGAGATTTATTAATAATTTACAGGAGCTATAAAATCACAGAAATAAAATCACATGGCTGACTTCTTGTCCTGATGCAAACTACTATTTCTATTATAGAATGTTCCCGATAATTATAAGCCCATCTAATTGAGCCAGCTCTGGTCAAATTTAAAAAGTCTTCAGTAGGACTAAGTGGACGTCAACATTACAGATAATAAGTCACATGACCAAATTAAAGATAACAATCGGTTAGTATTATGTTCACATTTACTTTCTTCATAGCTTTTAAATTCAACTGGACACCTAGCTGAATGACCTTATGATATCTTAGTGATTCTAACTGACATTAGCCACTGCGATATAACTGAGCGTTGTTGGAGAATGTGCACTCGCTTGGAGACCTTCAGGACCTCAATGTACATCAGATTTGTACAGTGTGCATTGCCTTGTGTTACTGTCACATGAATTTAGCTTACATTTTTGTTCGCATTTTCGATACTGCTGCTAGTCGAGTTCCGATTCAATCAAAGTTGTCGAACAGATTTCCTTGGAAATATCAATATATTTTTAAATCTCAGGAAGGATGGTACTTTTGCAACTAAGCAATTATTACATATTATAGTTATTTTATTCTGCACTAACATACTCCCTTTAGAGCATTAAAACATGGCGAACCGTATGTTCTTCTTCATAGCCCTACCAGGCACCATTATATGCTTTATAGCATACACTATGGTAGTGTTCACACCAAAATATATGACCTACGATGCACCACTACCCAGTGGAATGAAGGTAAGCTATATAGCAAAATGTTGGTATCATTAATTTACTTGCTTTTCCTGAAATTTCAACTGTCTAATACATAGATGGTGTTATAAGGGGTCGTTCAAATATTATGTAATCACTTTTTGAACAGTTTTTACGTAATATGTGAACGACCCCTAACCTAAACTCTGCTAAACTACTGATGATATCTGAGTAAAATCATTCTTTTAGGACGGAGACAAAGTTCAGAGTTACACAATGGGAGCTATTCAGAATTGTACTAAGAATGGGACATTCAGTTCTGTCGCTGTTAAAGCTAAGGTAGCACCGAAGAAAGCTACAAAGAAGAAGGCAGTGGCGATTGTAAGAAGGTCACTAGAGGAAACAGGGGGAGGAAAAGAAGTTAAGGAATTTGTTAAATCAGAAGTTCCGATGGTGGAAGTGGTAAAGAGTGAAGAAGCGTCCGTGGGAGCAGGAATTGAAGAGGAAGCGGAAGTGGATGTTCCAACTATGGAAACTGTTCCAATAGAGAAAGTGGAAGAGGTAGAGGAGGAAGTAGTGGAAGAGGAGGAGGAAGCTGCAAAGGTAGAACCAGCCAAAAAGGCAGCAGCACCAGCCAAAAAGGCACCAGCACCAGCACCAGCCAAAAAAGCACCAGCCAAAAAGGCAGCACCAGCTAAGAAAGCACCTGCCAAAAAAGCACCAGCCAAAAAAGCAGCTGCCAAAGGAAAGAAAACAGCTGCAAAAGGAAAGAAGACGGTTGTAGTGAAGGGACCGAAGGGACCACCTACTGACCCCACAAAGGTTCATTTCGGCAAATGGGATTGTCATCTCCTCAACTGGAAAAGTATGTACCACGCTGTATATAATACACAGTTTTATTATATATTTTGTACATAATATATGACATAAAACCAACGTACACAAAAAATCGTCGATTTTTGTTCAGTTTATTTTTTATATTTAGCAAATATGTATTATCTGAGGAATAATTACAGTTTCGATGGTTTATATAGATTTTGCCAGATTTCAATCCATAAGAACTTAAATTGCATATTTACTGGTAGAACCGGCAATACACTCACGGGATGCATAATTTGGTTGTTTTTGATGAATGGTTTTTTGATAGTTTTAGTAAACCCTGGAATTGTAAACCCAGGGCCGTCTCCCATAGGTGTTAGAGTTGGGAATGGTAATAAATTGAATGTTTACTTTCAGAATGTTCAAGGTCTCATCCCTTTTGGTGAACTGAACAATGCCCATCCAATGATTGATACCACTAAATGTCTTGAAGTGTCGACTTATCTTAATGAGGCTAAGATAGATATTGCAATACTTAACGAAACCTGGTTTAAGAGTTCTATTGCTGATAGTGAATTTCTGCACCCTGACAGATATAAGATATTTCGCTCTGATAGATCGAAGAAAACTCATCCACCAGATCCTTCTAATCCAACCCGGTTTAGGAGGAATGGTGGAGGGGTCATGATTGCAGTGAGAGCAGACCTTGATCTAACTTCAAAGGAAGTTCATCTCAAGTATGGTGCAGAAATTCTTGCTGTGGAATTTAAGACATCCACTGGAATTAAGTTTGTTGTATGCACATGTTATCGTGTTGGTACACTGGGCTCCGCAAATCATGAAAAAATTGTTGAGTCTTTGAAAACTCTTCTCAGAAGAAGAGGACTGAGTAAAGTCTTCATACTAGGAGATTTTAACCTGACCGGAGTTTCCTGGTCTACCCTGGCCAGCTCCTGTCCTATTGAGCAATCTTTTGTTGAATCTTTTGTTGATCTAGGCCTTCAACAATGTGTGTTAACACCTACCCACTGCAAAGGCAAAACACTTGACCTATTGCTCACAAACTCTGTGTCAAATATTAATGACCTAATGGTAGGTGAGAGAGATAGTGCTTGCAAGTCTGACCACTTCCCCATCAATTTTAAGATCAACGTTAAAGTTGGTAGGAAGAAGCCAGTCAGGCGTATGTGCTATAACTTTAAGACTGTGAACTGGGAGAGGCTAAACCATGAACTCCGACACACGAATTGGGATGCATTGCTCAATGGCACAGAACCTGAAATTGGATGGAAAAAATTTAAGGACAAACTTTTTAATGTCACAGATAAATTTGTTAAAAAATGCTCTGTCAAGACTGATGGCCAAGATCCATGGTTTGACTCGGAGTGTTATGATGCATGGCGTAAGAAAGTGAGATTACATAAAGAAAGGCATAAAAGTGATAGAGCTGAAATTGCATTCTCCCTTGCTAGGAAAAATTTCAAAAATGTGGTTGCTCAAAAAATGAGGGAAACATTAAATGAATCTGATGATAGTGCTTTAATAACAAAAAAATTTTGGTCCTATGTCAAATCGAAGACAGCTAGTCAGCGGATCCCTGAGTTTGTAAGCCACAAAGGCACTGTCCGCAACTGCCCTGAAGACCAGGCCAACCTATTTAATGACTTTTTCTTCGAGCAGTTCTCTGAGGCATCAACTTATGACATAGATATAGATTACTCTAATGATTGGCGCTTTGATATTGAATTTGACCACAGAAGGGTTCGCAAAATCCTTTCCAATATTAATGCTAATAAAGCTTATGGACCTGATGGTATCCATGGGAAACTTTTGAAAAACTGTGCGGTTGGGCTCGCATACCCTATATCAATACTTTTTCATTCATGCTACAACATTGGGACACTACCAAGGGAGTGGAAACTGGGGCACATTGTACCAATATTCAAGAAAGGGGATAAAAATGAGGTTTCAAATTATAGGCCAATTTCTCTTACATGCTTAATCACAAAAGTTCTTGAACGCATAATAAGAGATGAGTTATTGGCACTTACTAATGGCATGATCAATGACAAACAGCATGGTTTCCGAGCTGAGAGATCTTGTGCAACTAATCTTGTAGGACTGTGCGACAGCCTAGCGCTCTCACTGAATGAAAATATGAGAACAGATGTAGTCTACTTTGATTTTGCCAAAGCATTTGACTCGGTTAACCATGATCTTATATTATTTAAGCTAAAGAGCAAATTTGGTATTGATGGGAGGCTACTGAAATTCATCACTGATTATCTAAGAGACAGGCAACAACAGGTCTTGATAAGTGGCAAGTTTTCTTCTATGAGAAACGCCCAGTCTGGTGTACCTCAAGGGTCAATTTTGGGACCATTGCTGTTCATTATGTTCATTGATGATATATCAGTGGGGATTTCACCAGGCACACAACTGTCACTGTATGCCGATGATACTAAAATTTGGCGTAAGATTGTTTCGGAGTCTGATATCCTGCGACTGCAGAAGGACATTGATTATCTCCATGACTGGTCACTTTCTAATAAAATGAGATTTCATCCCGACAAATGTAAGGTCCTCACCGTCGCAGGAAGGATATCCGAAACAGTTTCCCTCCTTAGTGTCCTACCACTCTTTAACTTTGTATACTCCATGGGAAGAATCACACTTGACTATGTTGATCATGAAAAGGATCTGGGTGTAATTGTGACATCAAATCTCGATTGGAAAGATCAGTGCTCCAAAGTCCTTTCTAAGGCAAACCAAAAATTAGGCATGGCGAGAAGAAATTGTTATTTTGTCCAAGACGTAAATCGTCGTAGAGTACTGTATCTCACTTTAGTGAGGAGCCTATTTGAGCATTGCTCGGTTATATGGAGACCAGTCACAAAATCCCAGATAAGCAAGCTGGAGGGCCTCCAAAAGCGTGCTATTAAGTGGATTCTTCACGAGGAGTATATGAGTTATCCACCATCCACATACATTCAAAAATGCAGACAGCTGAAGATTATGCCGATTGAAGACCGCTTTGACTTCTTGGATCTCATCTTCTTCTTTAAAATTGTGAAGCAACATATACCTGTCACTTTACCCTCATATTTGCAACCATTTCAAGGCCACTCAAGGCTCAGAAATAGTCACATGGACTCTCTATGTTTTGTAAGCTCTATCTCACCTCGAGCAAGCTCCAACGCTTTTGCCAAGAATTTCTTCTATAGGACCCACACTAAGTGGAATCACATTCCTCTAGATATCCGTGAGATAGAGAGTATCACTGATTTTAAAAGTAAACTTTCCACTTACATGTGGGGGAAAATTATCCCGGTGGATTCGGACTCTGAACTTGACTATTCAATAGAAACAAATCCGTAAAATAGTTTATTCAAGATTATCTATTCTTGCTGTCTGCATTCACATATTTCTCAATTTCATCTCACAGCACAATATTTTATGAATTGATTGAATGGGTGTGTGATTTTGTTTAAAGTAACTTATTACAATTTTATAAGGGCCCATGCTTGTGCAGGAGCTGCATTTGCACTCAATATCTGTGTTTTGGTGACCCTCAGGTCCTTTGGTTACATACATCCGAGACAATTTCAATTTTGACAATCCATGCTTAGAGGACAATATTATATTTAACTAATTCATTGTGTAAACTTGTATGTAATTGACTGATTTGAAAGATTTCAATAAAAAAAAAAAATTCAAACTTTCAAACAGATATCCAAAAGGAGCGACTGGTCTAGATGTTATACTGTCTAATGTATAAAATAAAAGTCGAAATTTAACTACGTAATTTTGGCCCATCTGCAAACGGATGCTTCAGAGGACTGCACATATAGTTTATCCCTCAGTATTAACGATAGCATTGCCGTAAACTGTTTATTGTTTAAAGCTTATATCAAGATCAACTATTGTATTTCAGTGCTTACCAACCAGCTCTTCCTTGCCTACCTTTCTACGACAGCAGTTGCTTGGTTCACACTACTTGGTGCTTTCTTGGTATCATTGGTAAAGGTCATCTTGGACTGGGTACCCCATGACAAAATCAAGGCTGCTAGAAGTGAGTCTATATATGAAGTATAAGTTTCACTTTTACAATAAAGATAATAATAACGACTTAACTTTTTACAACGAATTAGAGATAATGAACCGGAACTTAATGAGTTAAAATATTTTCAGTTCTTTGCAGTAGAAACTTTGGTCTTGGTTTGATGTCTGCTCACATAACAGCAGGTAAGCCCATATTACTGATTGCTGCTTTAAATTTTCATTATCTCCTACTCTATTCTGAAGTTAGATGATCTACAATTTAAAATGTTTTATAACAGAATCTAGACCAGGTACAATGTAATATTGGGGGGGGTGTCATGTCCGTCTATGTCCGCCTATGTCCTGTCCTTTTTGGATTCTATGAGACAACGGACGTGTTTTTTGGGACATTGGCGGACACGGACGGACATTGGCGGACTCGGACGGACATTGGCGGACTCGGACGGACATTGGCGGACTCGGACGGACATTGGCGGACCCGGACGGACATTGGCGGACTTGGATGGACATTGGTGGACATTAGCGGACAAACATTTTGAGGACTGAAGAGTACTGAAGAGTACTGAAGAGTACTGAAGAGTACTGAGGAGGATGGCTGAGAAGGATGGCTGAGGAGGATGGCTGAGGAAGATGACTGAGGAGGATGACTGAGGAGGATGACTGAGAGGGAGGAGAAGGATCAGGAAGACCCAGGAGGAGGAGGAGGAGGAGGACCCAGAAGGAGGACCTAGGAGGAGGAGGAGGAGAACTGAGGAGGATGACTGAGGAGGAGGAGGACTCAGGAGGAGGACTGAGAAGGAGGAGGACTCAGGAGGATGGCTGAGGAGGATGGCTGAGGAGGATGATTGAGAGGGAGGAGGAGGAGGAAGAGGAGGAAGAGGACTGAGGAGGAGGAGGAGAAGGACTGAGGAGGAGAAGGAGGACCCAGGAGGAGGAGGACCCAGGAGGAGGAGGACCCAGGAAAAGGCCCCAGGAGGAGGAGGAGGACTGGGGAGGAGGAGAACTGTTGAGGACTGATGAGGAGGACTGAGGACGAGGAGGAAGAGTAGGAGGAGGACTGAGGAGGGGAGGGGGAAGAGGACTGGGGAGGATCAGGAAGACCCAGGAGGACCCAGGAGGAGGAGGAGGAGGAGGGCCCAGGAGGAGGAGGACTGAGAAGGACTGAGGAGGAGGACTGACGATGACTGAGAAGGAGGAGGACTGAGGAGTACTGAGGAGGATGGCTGAGGAGGATGGCTGAGGAGGATGACTGAGGAGGATGACTGAGAGGGAAGAGGAGGAGGACTCAGGAGGAGGACTCAGGAGGAGGACTTAGGAGAAATGAGAAGGAGGACTGAGGAAAACTGAGGAGGAGGAGGAGGAGGAGGACTGAATAGGAGGAGGAGAAGGAGGGGGACTGGGAGAGGACTGGGGAGGAGGAGGACTGATGAGAAGGATGAGGAGGAGGACCGAGGAGGAAGAGGAGGAGGATGAAGAGGAGGAGGAGGACCCAGGAGGAGGAGGACTGAGGAGGAGGACTGAGGAGGACTGAGGAGGACTGAGGAGGATGGCTGAGGAGGATGACTGAGAGGGAAGAGGAGGAGGAAGAGGACTGAGGAGGACTGAGAAGGAGGAGGAGGAGGAGGAGGACTGAATAGGAGGAGGAGGAGGGGGACTGGGGGAGGACTGAGGAGGAGGATGGAGGACTGAGGAGAAGGATGAGGAGGAGGACTGAGGAGGACTGAGGACTGAGGAGGAAGAGGAGGAGGATGAAGAGGAGGAGAAGGACCCAGGAGGAGGACCCAGGAGGAGGACTCAGGAGGAGGAGGAGGACTGGGGAGGAGGAGGACTGTTGAGGACTGATGAGGAGGACTGAGGACGAGGAGGAGGAGTAGGAGGAGGACTGAGGAGGAAGAGGACTGAGGAAGATCAGGAAGACCCAGGGGGAGGAGGAGGAAGAGTAGTAGGAGGAAGCATCTAAATGTTATTTCCATTTTTGTCCGTTTTTGTCCATTTTTGTCCGTTTTTGTCCGCTCTATTTTTTGTCCGTTTTTGAAAAGGAGGAAGAGGAGGAGGATGAAGAGGAGGAGAAGGACCCAGGAGGATGACCCAGGAGGAGGACTCAGGAGAAGGAGGAGGACTGAGGAGTACTGAGGAGGATGGCTGAGGAGGATGGCTGGGGAGGATGGCTGAGGAGGATGACTGAGGAGGATGACCGAGGAGGAAGAGGAGGAGGATGAAGAGGAGGAGGAGGACCCAGGAGGAGGAGGACTGAGGAGGAGGACTGAGGAGGACTGAGGAGGACTGAGGAGGATGGCTGAGGAGGATGACTGAGAGGGAAGAGGAGGAGGAAGAGGACTGAGGAGGACTGAGAAGGAGGAGGAGGAGGAGGAGGACTGAATAGGAGGAGGAGGAGGGGGACTGGGGGAGGACTGAGGAGGAGGATGGAGGACTGAGGAGAAGGATGAGGAGGAGGACTGAGGAGGACTGAGGACTGAGGAGGAAGAGGAGGAGGATGAAGAGGAGGAGAAGGACCCAGGAGGAGGACCCAGGAGGAGGACTCAGGAGGAGGAGGAGGACTGGGGAGGAGGAGGACTGTTGAGGACTGATGAGGAGGACTGAGGACGAGGAGGAGGAGTAGGAGGAGGACTGAGGAGGGGAGGAGGAAGAGGACTGAGGAAGATCAGGAAGACCCAGGGGGAGGAGGAGGAAGAGTAGGAGGAGGAAGCATCTAAATGTTATTTCCATTTTTGTCCGTTTTTGTCCATTTTTGTCCGTTTTTGTCCGCTCTATTTTTTGTCCGTTTTTGAAAAGGAGGAAGAGGAGGAGGATGAAGAGGAGGAGAAGGACCCAGGAGGATGACCCAGGAGGAGGACTCAGGAGAAGGAGGAGGACTGAGGAGTACTGAGGAGGATGGCTGAGGAGGATGGCTGGGGAGGATGGCTGAGGAGGATGACTGAGGAGGATGACTGAGAGGGAGGAGGAGGAGGACTCAGGAGGAGGACTCAGAAGGAAGAGGAGGAGGACTCAGGAGGAGGACTTAGGAGAAATGAGAAGGAGGACTGAGGAGAACTGAGGAGGAGGAGGAGGAGGAGGACTGAATAGGAGGAGGAGAAGGAGGGGGACTGGGAGAGGACTGGGGAGGAGGAGGACTGATGAGAAGGATGAGGAGGAGGACCCAGGAGGAGGAGGACTGAGGACCGAGGAGGAAGAGGAGGAGGATGAAGAGGAGGAGGACCCAGGAGGAGGAGGACTGAGGAGGAGGACTGAGGAGGAGGACTGAGGAGGACTGAGGAGGACTGAGGAGGACGGCTGAGGAGGATGACTGAGAGGGAAGAGGAGGAGAAAGAGGACTGAGGAGGACTGAGAAGGAGGAGGAGGAGGAGGACTGAATAGGAGGAGGAGGAGGGGGACTGGGGGAGGACTGAGGAGGAGGATGGAGGACTGAGGAGAAGGATGAGGAGGAGGACTGAGGAGGACTGAGGACTGAGGAGGAAGAGGAGGAGGATGAAGAGGAGGATGAGGACCCAGGAGGAGGACCCAGGAGGAGGACTCAAGAGGAGGAGGAGGACTGGGGAGGAGGACTGTTGAGGACTGATGAGGAGGACTGAGGACGAGGAGGAGGAGTAGGAGGAGGACTGAGGAGGGGAGGAGGAAGAGGACTGAGGAAGATCAGGAAGACCCAGGGGGAGGAGGAGGAAGAGTAGGAGGAGGAAGCATCTAAATGTTATTTCCATTTTTGTCCGTTTTTGTCCATTTTTGTCCGTTTTTGTCCGCTCTATTTTTTGTCCGTTTTGAAAATATAGGGTACCGAACGGACAAAAAACATGATCCCCCTATAACAGCAAAAATTGAACATTTTATTTAGCAATTTAGGTGTCCATTAATGTCCGCCTATGTCCGCCTATGTCCGTCTATGTCCGCCTATGTCCGTCTATGTCCGCCTATGTCCGCCTATGTCCGTCTATGTCCGCCTATGTCCGCCTATGTCCTGTCCTTTTTGGATTCTATGAGACAAGCGGACATAGACGGACGTGACACCCCCCCCAATATTAGAGTATTAGCTGGATTTGACGATTTCTACATTAATTTATGCTACATATTTTAACATTCATTATGATACAGGTGGAATGATCATTGCATCCTCTGTCCTGATGATAGTTATATGGAAGACAACCCTGGCAGCCGCCGGCTGGAAGCTGGGTTTCAACATATACCTTGGGCTAGGTGTTGCTGTTGGGTCTTTCTTCACTGCAATTATGTGGTTTATGGATGTCAAGAAGATGGGACTGATTCCTATTTAGATGAACCAAAGCTATTTCTGATACAGAACGTCTCGTCCCTGGGAGCTTTAGAAAGACCTTCTTACTGTTTCAATGGAATACCTACAATATCTATATAATAAGTGAAACAACATTTTTCCCGATGAGCAAAATCGTATTCTATTCTGATTTAAACGAGCAATAAATCGATCTTAAAGTCTAGTCATATTAGAATTTTGGCGATAAAATTAAAATTTTTTTGATACCTTGTGTTTGAAGTCTGAGGCAAGATTCTTCAGACTTAAAATTTATTACCTCTCAGCTTTGCAATATATTATCAAGGGAGTAGTTGAAATAATTGAGACGATTGAAATTCTGTAATCTATACTTAAACATACCAGAATCGTTTATATTTATGTACAAAATATCAAATAGATAAGTAACAACTTATCACTCCTCACTCAATTAGAAAATATGCTATTTCAATAGGCATTTTACTGTGACTCAGGAATGTTAGCAAATTCCATTAAGTTTCAAAAAAAATGAAAATATGGACCTTTAGAAAGAGTTTGAAACAACTTCAAAAGTCTTTGATCAGCAATAATAATTCTCTTGCATTTTATCTTCCTAACTCTCAAAACTACTCGACCCAAATCTTTAATATCTACAAATAACACCGTACTATTCCATATCATTGAACAAAAGTTCAATCGCTGCTTCTACATTACCGTTCGTTGCTTGTAACGCCTGTAAGATAAGATTGAAACTCTGTGGCTATAGAGTTCAGTGTTTTCATTTAGGCAGACACTATAATTGATATTCACAGAATACGTTAGACTTAGGTTGATCTTGTTAAAAAACCAATGATAAATTGAGATGGAATAGCAATAGTTAGATTACCTGGATGTTTTGAAGGTCGTCCGTGAGCCCCATGGAATGGAGTTGTTCTAACTGTTCCCTCCGACTAGCCATCTGCTGCTCGATATTCTCCTGCACCCCCTGCATGGGCTGCTCAGTCCCTTCAGCAGGAGGAGGTACTGGTGGTGGTTGCTGGTAGCTTCCAAGAAGCTGTGCCAGTGCGCCATTCGCTTGACCTGTTCCGTTTGCAGAGGGAATGTTGTTTGCCCTCATTGCACCAGATATAGCTTGCTGCAGGAACTCAGGTGTAATTCTGGGCTGATTGCTTGGAACTCCTTGGCGCAGTCCTGCACCCATGTTAGGACCAGTTCTTGCACCATTTGCATTGCTTGGTCCACTACCAGGTGGAGGGGGAGGGTAACCCAATCCTGGTGAAATGGATGGTTAGAAATAATTTTAAAACAGAGAAATCAAAATGGTGTTCATTCATTGCAAATTCAATAATAATCAGACGATGCGTTGTTAATAGAATATGTCTACTGACCAGCAAACATGCTTGCCATATCTTGTTGATTCGATGACATGACTCCAGGTTTGGTTTTTAGGGTCTCCAGGAATTTGATAAGACAAGTGTTGGACTGAAGAAACTTTCTGGCTGCTCCTTTATCTGTAAGAGCCTTGCGGCGCTCAGGAGAAAGGAGCAGTGCTATGAGAGTTGAGGGAATTGTTTTGGGATCAAGGTTTACTTCCATATACATAAGGGCCTTTTCATTGGTCTGCATCTGAAATTTGCAGTTTAAACCTAAGAGGATTAACTTCTTGCACTGTATCATGCACTGAACTATGAAAATTTTCATAAAAATAAAATAAATAAAGTCCAAATGTGCATTAAATGCCTCCTGGTGGCGGTTGAAGCACCCATGAGAAGTATAAGCATTATTGATCCTATAAAAAGCATATCTTAGTAAAATGTAAATGCTTATAATCACTGTCAAATTTGCAACCGCCTCACCTACCTGAGTGATCAAGTTAATAAATGTTGCAATATGATCTTCCGTCACTGTTGGGTTATTATTCTTAATCATGGGAATGATGAATAACAGATTGTCTTCATCTGCATTGACAGTGCTTTCATCTGACAAAACTCTCGAATTCACCACCTGTGGAAGAGTCATGATTCCAAATTCAAATGCATACAATGCAATGTAAATATATTTTTATTGCTGCACTATTGGAAATCCCAAGATGTCCAAACAATGTGAAAGTACACAAACCAACTGATGAGATTCCATCAAGTGGTCAGTGAGATGTTGCACATGATCCTTAATCAGGAGGACAGGAGTCAACCCACCGAGCCCATCTAGCCTATGTTTAGTACGTGTCTTTGTGTCATAAATTGTTATCATATTCTGAAACCATGATTATAAGTACACGTTCTTGATGCAGAATTGAGACTTCAACAAAATGCTAAACAAATATCTTAACATTAGTAACAAATGGTGATCAATTAAACAAGCTTTCAAAATCGACTTAGTAATCAACATAAAGTGAAAGGGTGTGAACACAGATGACATGCATGCTTCAACTTTATTAGACGGATTTTACTCTGTGGGAAACATAGTTTTAATTGGTCTGCACCAAAGTTCGAACAATCCTATTCAAATTGTGCGATTATATATGGTTAAGACTACCCTTCTTTGGTGTATGTTGGTAGCGATCCTGATAAAAATGGGATATCACCATAATGAATCGATATGGTTTACGATATACTCGAATGTGTGCTTGTACTGAATAGTATGCTTGCAATCAAACGATCAGATCTTTTGGCAGCATAAAGGGTCCCCCTCAGTCACAGTTTTTATCGATTCATCATCCGGAATTGGTGGCACTATCGATTATCACATCCAAGTGAGTAAAAACAAAAATTTGTAATAATACATGTAATACCTTACATGTGATCTGAACCGATCTGAAAATAAAAATGCAATGCTAATAACACGTGATGTTCACAAATTTCAATATGATGGACAGTAAAAAGGATAAAGGGAACAGTCCTAGGAAACCACTGTTAAATCATATATCTTATTTTATCACTCATTAATTTATTACTAATTATGTTTTACAATTTACATGCTATTTCCTTATGTCCCTAGAAGGGTGTTCTGCTAACAGTTTTCGACTGACTTGAATGTCCTGCACAGCAGATTGAAGCTTCTTAAATTATTTTTTATTCTTATTGTATTGCTGTGTAAATTTGATTCTAATTCTAATTCTAACCAAGCTAGTCTGAAAATTTCTGCAAGATCGATTTGGAATGCTTCAGAGATGGCATATTCTGATGTAAGGGTGTTCCATGCCCCAGCCCCCTCCAATGCAAGCAAATCGATCCTCGCAATGTACCAGTTTCATGAAAATGAGAAAAAAGGTGTTATAACGCAAGGGCTCTTGAAAAGGAGAAAGGAAGCTTCACACCGTTAGTTTTCTCAACGTCTGGTGGTATTGGGGGGTGAAGCTGAAAGACTGGTGAAGAAGCTAGCTAGTAAGATGGAATGGATATATAAGGAAGCGCCTTCGTTTCGAAATCCTTAGAACAACAGTGATTTCTCTCCGGGGAGAAGAAAACTTTGTTAATACAGATATAAGTCTAGATTTGAACTTGGTTGACATACGTTGCATGCCGCTTTCGCGCATGTATCAAGAACTTGGAGTCAGAAGGACAAGGGTGATTTTCAAAAGTTTCTACCAATATTTGAGATATATTGAGTTTTTGAATCATAATCTAATCTAATCTATCTTGAAGGGTTGGTTTTATATAGGGTCATTGTGACATAATGTATAGACTGTTTGAAAAAAAATTATTCTTGCAAAAAATAATAATAATTAGCTAGGGATAGCTTAACGGGTGATACTCTTAAAATATTTGTTCCATATATTGGACCGTCGATGAGTCCAACTCGGCACGCGTCTTGGTAGGTTATAAACCTACAAGGGATAGCTATGAGCTAAATTTAGTATATTTGTTCAGCTTTTTTGGTCTATGGCTCGCAGATTCGCTTTTTTTATGAGTTTTGACTATTTTACTCGTCTAAATTTTTTCGAAGTAGTGCGCGCCGCTTTCAGTTTTCTTCTCGAAGTAGCACTGAGATCGCCGAATTAGTTCATTAATTGTAGGTTTATAACCTATCAGGACGCGCGTCGAGTTGGACTCGTTGACGGTCCTAATATTTGAAACGAATATTTTACGAGTATCACCGTACTCGTTAATTCATTAACAATGGTCAATTTGGGTTCAGAACATGTAACTTTAACGAATGTTTACTTAATCATGTAGCGGGCGCGTATTTGTTTCACAAGTAAAGGCGGGGGCGCGCTACTGCAAGCGCAAGGGCTCTGGATAGAGCAAAAATGAATGCACTCAGAGGGAATGCTGCATCAGCTCAGGTTTATAAAGCTTATGGAGGATGCTTCTTTGATTCGCTGCGTGGCGCGCATATTTATACAAATGCTCAGTTCGCTTCGGCAGCAAGCATTTACATTTAACCCATCAATTTAATTTAGAATCATAACTTTTGATCGACAATGTCAATTTTACAGCTCGTAGCGACCCAACATTTATTAATTGATTTATGATGTCAATTCTTTGCAGCTCGTCGAGGCCCAATAGCCCATTTTGCCGATTTAATGAAGGTGGTGGTTGCGATAAGCATTATTGGATGCGCCGCGCGGTCCAGTTAAATAACGCATTGCGTTATATATACTGCAACGTTATTGTACGTACTTTGAAGCGAATATTTACAGCTATCAAATCCACATAGATTTTACTTTGAAAATAAATATCGTTCCAAATTTTGTTGGTCATTATATTTGTTCATTTTTGCTGCATTTCTTTTTTATTCCACTGTGCTGTAATTTACTCACTTGACGAGAAATGAAGTTAAAGCACTTTAATTTGATTGTGCTCTGCCAATTGCATCACTTGATTTTATTGAATGTGTATATTGTTTGAATGACCTTTGCCCTTTTTACTTTGCATCCCTGATAAAAAAGATTTAGAAACTCAATGAAACAATAAGTTTTCAATGAAACAATAAGTTTTATTTTACATTCCTTTAATCATAAATAAAATAAGAGCTTAAACCACGAATTAGTTAACTAGAAGTAAACTTAAAGAAATATTCTTTGGTGATTGTATATAATTATTTTAAAAACTTTATTTGGTTGTTAGTATTTTTATTATGGCAAGTGGTTGAATTTAGAGGAATTTAGTGACTAAACAAAGCTTCAATGGAGCTGAGTTTGAAGAACCAACACAAAAAATGATGTTATTTTGTGACATTTTATTTTTAAATATAAAACTGAGTTCAGAATGTGCTTCTCTGATCTAAGAGAGATCCCCAAATACCAGGGAAATTAAAGGGGACTAGCAAGCCAATAGTCTTTAACCTTATTCCTGGTAAATAAATAAATGACCAACAGGACAGTTTTTAAATAGTTTTGCACGTGGTACGAAAGAGCTCGAAAACGTCCTGCCCTTATTTTTGATATAAGATCTAAACATATCGACCAGGTATATTAGTTTAATACACGAAGTGAGATCCTGAGAACTTTTTTATTATTCGGATACACTATCCAGACTTAAGATCTTGAGACAGCTGATAGATTCTGCGATCTAAGCCTAGAGAAGAGGCATGTTACCTGAATGACTGAGGTGAGATCTGGAGATGTTTGCTCAGCCTCGAAATCCAAAACTGAGCACTGCTTACCATGTAACTACCCAAGGTGAGATCTCGTTTTATACAGGGTGGTTTTGATGTTTAATTCCATGATATTGATTAATTGCATTCTGATGTTGACTGCTGTTACATATGATATTATTATCATTTAAATTTTGCCCCATCAAAAGTACAAAATTCTTACACGAATAATCATGTTTTCTTAACAGTTTCTTTTTGCACCTCCGTCCAATGCAAAGATGCACGTTCTTGTTAATTAAGTATCATTTATAGCTGAGCATGAGGGTTAAATTTAAACCTTTTGGTGCTGTATAAAAATAACATTAATTTATTATTATTATTATTATCCTGCACCACATAAAAAGCACCATTTCGTATAGCTAAATTATTGAATATGCATTCTTGATGCAAAATTATTCAATTATCATTCAATTCAATTATTATTCAATTCAATTTAAGAATGCAGGATATCTCTCACAACTTTAGACCTATAGGAGTTTTGTTCTCATCTGAGGAAAGAAGTTTTTGATTGAAATAAATTTTCGTGCACATACAGAATGAATGGTTAATAATTTAATATATATGTAGACCAAGGTCTGTGCACGGGATGCTTCCTGGAAGAATCCAGTTCTTTTAGCGGGGCACCCTACCTAAAGCCAAATTGAGATATAATAATCATATTCCTAAGAAATAATCAGAAATCGAATACCAATCAAATAATATGATATATATGAGTAGTAACCATATTTACTATGCAAAATGCCCCAACCACATAGTGTAAATTTATATAGAATTCAAATTCCATATCATCATTAAACCTCAATACCTAGTCAATATAATAGCCCAAGCAAAATTAAATAACTTCTTATATACCTTACTGTCATACTACAAATTAATTAAACATTTGAAATCTGTTGACCAGAGAATAAATTCTAAGCCTAATGCAAGTGAAATAATTTAGATGCAATAATGAATGCCTAATGTGAGTATCATTTGTCAATGTCCTTGTAAAAAAGTCTGTACAAGAGATATGAGTAACTAATATAGAAGAAAAAACAGGAAGTTGTCGTCTGTTGTAAAATAAATAAAATATCTAGAATATAAATTAGAATATAAAATAACATTCAGTCAATGTGTCGTCAATAAACTGTACAATTATCAAATGTTAAAACTGGGTGATACAGTCACCAAAAATAAATACTAAGTATGATAAGTTAATAAATTAAATGTGGTCTATAAAACTACCACTAGGTATAATAGGTCAATAAATTAAAAGTGGTCTATAAAACTACCACTGTGGGAACCCCTTCTCCAGTTAAAACATGTCAGTCATGTGCAAAATCAATCAGAATGGTAAGGTGGTAAAAAAGGGAATATCTTTTCGATACATCAATTATATATGCCTCAGATTTAAAAGAATTAGAAGTTAATTAGTTATCGTCGACTATGATTGCAGTGTAAAATTTTTCATATGAATTGTCGACGGTATAATTAGGGTATGTTGTTATAGATGATAGTAGCTGTTTCTTATACGAATCACTAAAGCTTTTAACATCGGGCAGATTTCGTAGATCTGTTGGAACATTATTCCAACATTTTGCCCCCAAGTATTGAAAGTTTTTATGTGATGTTGATCTATTGACATAAAGGTTGCAGCTTTCGCCGCTCCTACTACCTCCTGATATGTAACTAAATTTGTTCATAAAGTTTGTAGGACAATTGTCATGGATGATTCTAAACATATAATTTGACAGATGGAGTTGTCGTCTAAGATGGAGTGGTAACCATTTCATGTCTCTATAAACATTAAGGCTGCTCTCTGTTTTTGGAACGTTGAGAGCTATTTTGGCTACCTTTTTGTACAGAGTGTCAAGTTCAGCAAGTTTTGTCTTGCCAGCTCTACAATAGATCGTGTCTAAATAATCGAATTGTGGCAACATGAGTGCATTGGCAAACATTTTCCTATATTTAATGGGTAGCAGTGCTTTACTTCTATACATGGCACCAATTCTCTTCATGACCTTCCTAATAATATAATCTACATGGCTTTTGAAGTTTAATTTACTATCTAGAATGAGGCCAAGATATTTTGTCTCTTTGCACTCCTTGATTGTGAAAGTTACCTCATTACAATCAATGGTTATTTCATCATGTTGGTCAACAGAATCAAACAATAGGAATTCAGTCTTCTTTTCATTGAGTGATAATTTATTAACACTGAGCCATTTAAAGATTGTCATAAGTTCTATTTTCATGTTTATAAATGTGCTTCTGCAGGTTTGATCAAAGAATAGTGCACCATCATCTGCAAATAGAAAGGGCTTAGATAGGTTACAGGCATAAATGATGTCATTTATGAAGATACTAAATAATATAGGCCCAATGATGCTTCCTTGTGGTACACCACTCAGAACTTCTAAAAATGAGCTTAGATTGCCATTGATCCTAGTGCATTGATATCTACAAGATAAGAAGTTCTTAAACCAGGTTAAAGCAATGCCACCAATTCCATAGTATGCCAATTTTTGAAGCAATATTTCATGATTCACTGTGTCAAAGGCCTTCTTAAGATCAAGAAAGATGATTCCTGGTTTATAAGACTTAGATTTACTCTTATATATTTCGTCCATCAGATCGTACATCAGATAAGTTGTGGAGTGATTTTTCCGAAAGCCATATTGATGCCGGATGAAAAGTTTGTTCTCTTCCATGTAATCAGTGAGTTGCTTGCCGACAAAATATTCTATAAGTTTTCCTACAAGTGGAAGGATGGATATTGGCCTGTAATTATTAGGATCATCTTTCATTCCTGCCTTATGGATGGGAGTTACTCTAGCTTTTTTACAAAGGGTTGGTACAACACCTGTATTAAGGCTCAGATTGACAATGTGGGTCAGTGGCTCAACTATGTGTGGTACAGCTTGCTTAAGTAAAAATGAACCTCTTTAGAACTAGCAGGGAGTCAAACCAGCTTCAAAAGTAAAAGCCCATTCATGACATATGAAATTTGAACCGTTAAAAAAGAGCATACAGACTCACGACTGTAAGTGCACAAAAACACTACACTAAACAAGTACATTGAATCACAAGTGGTTCCGCGGATCTCAAGCAATCATGAAGTGAACTAATCAGAGCATGCAGTGGATAAAAGTCCAGCAATCAGCATATGACCCAATAGAAAACAGGTGCAATTCTTTTTAATAAGGTTATTTTAAGAAATTCATTATAAGTAGAGAAATAGCGAATTAATTTTTTGAGATGCCTGATATGCACTATAAATGCATTAATTTCTTGACTCATGCTTTTCAGTATCACCTTCAACTTCTTTGGCCCTTTTACTCACAATTCAAAACCAATTATTGAAAGTAGAATTTGATTGAAATAAATTTTCGTGCACATACAGAATGAATGGTTAATAATTTAATATATATGTAGACCAAGGTCTGTGCACGGGATGCTTCCTGGAAGAATCCAGTTCTTTTAGCGGGGCACCCTACCTAAAGCCAAATTGAGATATAATAATCATATTCCTAAGAAATAATCAGAAATCGAATACCAATCAAATAATATGATATACGTATAGGAGTAGTAACCATATTTGGGGGGGTCCAACCCGATCAATTCCGATCATTCCGATCCCGATTTTGGTCTCATCAACCCTCATATCGGAAAAATCGGGAAAATTTAAATCTTCCCTCTGAGGTTTCTAGGCGATATAGGTTTTTGATTGAAATAAATTTTCGTGCACATACAGAATGAATGGTTAATAATTTAATATATATGTAGACCAAGAATCCTATATTTCTATCAACTCTGACGATTATTTAAATACTGTTGAATTAACAACCATTCAAACCAGACCTAGCAATGAAAGTAACAATCCCGGAAATTGCATGGCACAACAGGGATCCAGTGTTCAGTGCTGATTTCAGTATGGGAGAGGGCTGTCAGTGGAGAATGGCAACTGCTGGTGCTGATTCTGATGTCAAGGTTCGCCTAGTTACAAATAATCTAATTTTACACTCTGTATTCTGTTTTTTTTTGTAGCTTTGCATCTACCATCTGATAGATTTAAATCCTAAGTTTCACAATAGCGAAAAAACGTAAAAATCAAGGAAAACAAGTAACTTCCAATGATGCAAAGTTTTAAATTCACTTCTTAAATGTGTATTTTCAAGATGTGGAGAGTTGTGCCACACAGAGACGGTAAAGATGCGGAAGTAACTTTCCTGTCCAATTTGAGAAGACACACAAACACTGTCAACTGTGTCAGGTTCTCACCTGATGGTTTGCTATATTTGAACATTCATATTAAAGACTTGTATCCATCTGAAACTCTGCTTGAAGTTTGCTGATGTTCATGGTAGTTATTTCTGTTTCAGATCTAAAACTAGTTTTTTATCAGCTTATCTTGGCTCATAAGATTTTCTATCCAGTGAAATAAAAGAACCCAATTTCAGGTTTATTGCTCGCATCTGGTGGGGACGGTGAGTGCTATTTTTCCTTGTATATCAAATTTTTAAATAATTTTGCACCAAATTTTGTGTAACTCACACAACACATTCTGACACATTTGGGACATTAAGATTTTTACTAAATTTTACTGTAAACATTGTACATGTTGAACCCAAGTTATTTTTACAGATGTGTAACATGCCCGTCAGTTTGTTTATATCGAGTTTTAATATGTATCATGTATCACAAACCAATTTTCTGCAGATGGTGCTATGTTTTTGTGGCAGGAAAAGGAAGATAAGAATGTTGAGGGTAATTTATTTGAAGAGGATTCAGAACAAAATAAAGAGCATTGGGTTGCATACAAAATGTTGAGGTAAGAGACTATCACTGATCACACCTATCATTGATCATACATCACTAATCAGACCTGTCAAGTTTAGACAAACCATCACTGATTACTTCTGTCAAGCTACGTATATGGCTTCTGTAAAATCTACGGGAATGTATTCAAGGCATAGATTAGGGCCACATGTCAACTGTATTCATATATCTACCCGGCTGACTTGTATAGTATTTCTATAATTATTCATTGATAAACCTCAAGATATACCTATAATAAGAAGACTTTTTCCACAGAGGGCACATAGAAGACATAATGGACATCGCCTGGTCACCTGATGGGAAAATGATAGTTTCAGGGTCTATTGATAATAGTGTTATAGTTTGGGAGGCTAAAACTGGTGAGTCAAGTTCCTTTTTATTTTTTTTTAAATACAGTTGTGTAGAAAGACAAATTACAAATTTATACTTATAGAATGTAGCACAGAAAATTATATCATAGATTATATTATAAGCCGGCTTATGATATAATCTATGATGTAATTTTCAGTGGTCTGATTGATCTTGTTCTCGCATATCGGTACTACACAGTACACAAGGATCAGAGTTGCAGGATCTAGTTTTTATGTTTTTGATCCCTGACAATTGACATTTATGACCACCATTTTGTGGGGCTGGGTTATTGCAGCCTTAGGTTTCAGGCTGTGTGATAATCACACCATTCAGTCTGTGTGATAATCACACCATCCTCCATCAACCGGTTTCAACAAGTCTCCAGTTCATACTCCAGTTTATTGCACTTCTTCTTCTGTAGTTTGTAAAAGTTGTCAGATCTTTTTGCTGTACTTAGAGTAAAGAATTGTAATAAAATATTGGATCAGTACTCAGTAGCAGTAATTGGTAAGCTGGTTCTGGGTTCTTATAAAGTTATAAAATCCTATAGAATCCTCGACTCATATATCATTTGATGAATTCCTTCCTCTGTCCACTTACTGTACTTTTGAGCGTGTGATCCACTCTTGTATTGCCTGTTTGATAAGTTTACTTAAGTAATAAAATGTTTCTCTTATCTTCACATTTTACTCTCCCCTAACGTTTCAGTTACTGAAAAGTATATATAAACTTCACGTTTTATACATATTACTTCACATTTCAATTATTTCATGCCGGCAATACAAATTGTAAACACCCTCCTCAGTACATTGGTATGCAATTAGCATAATGTATGAAAATATTGGTGATCTTGGATATCCGGACATCCGCGGATCAAATACAAATAGCATTGGAATTAGGATGTTTATCTATGTTGGTTCCCAACTCACGGCTGACGGCTCTCTAATAAATTATCTTGAAATACTTCTCGCACCAAATACCAATACACATTTTGTATAACACAGTAATGAGCAAATCTCGTTCAATCTTTGAAGCAAAAATATCTTAACGTACTCTTCTTATTTAATACAAATTAAGCGTATAGAATAGTATCAGGACGACACACCCAAATATGTAACAATTAAATAATTAATATCGTATGACATGCTCGTCAATCTTACTAATTCCTTGCCACTCTCCCAGATCCTAATACCTATGCTCCTTTATAAACATTCCATCAATGCTAACTGTTATCTCAGGCAAGAAGCTGCATCTGCTGAAGGAACATTCCCACTACGTGCAGGGAGTCACGTGGGATCCCTTAGGAGAGTTTATCTGCTCTCTTTCTAGCGATAGGTTTGTCATCTGATATCAACTCTGCTAGATCATATTTTCTTATAACATTATCTCTAGTTTTGAATTTGTGAACTACCATCTTTCGTCTATGTAACTATTGTATATATGTGGCAAACGCCCAAACTGAATGACGAATATGATTATCAAACATGAAAAAGATCCTTCCCTGAAATTAAAATAAAAATTTGTCCCACACAAAATTCGTTGAAGAATGATAAACAAATGTCTCAGATCGTTGCTAGTATACGAAGCAGCACGTGGTAACTTAATGTACAACGTATCAAAACACCGGCGGGAAAAGAAGCAAGTGGAGAAGGACGCAGATGATAAGGAGAAGACAGAGAAGATTGAAAAAGAGAAAACCAACAGATTGTTTGTTGAAGAGGGCGCCACTAAATATTTCAGAAGATTGGATTTCACTCCTGATGGAGCTTTTCTTATCACTCCAGGTTTGATCCTAAAGAGCGTTTTGTCATTTCTTCCTATTCTACAGAAGCCTGACGTACACGTTCATGGCAGTTTTTTGTTTGGTATGAGCATTTTTGGGATGTTTGGCATTCTAGGGCTGAGTGTGGGCATGGCCATCCCGTGGGCACAGTTGTCGCTCGGGGTCTGCGGCCCCTCAGGGGTTCAGTTGCGGGCTCTGTATGTTGGTTGACTGCTGTCTCGGGTCTGGTTTCGTGAAAAATGATGTTTTCTTACTATAAGAAAATCATTCATATTACTAAATGAGTAAGTATCAATAGAATTGATCGTATTAACTAAATAACTTAACTAAATAACTTCGCAGCCGGTCAGGTGTCAACCGCAGATGATCTCTGTCACGTGACTTATATGTTTTCCAGAAGTAATCTTAAAAAGTAAGTTTATGTGTTGAATTATTTTGAACATCTTTCGTGTATATTGCTAAAGTATAAAGGAAACATTCGCATTCAACTGTAATTATTTTATTTTCATAGTTTTTTGCTATAAAATTGTCAGCAGAGTTTTAAACTTTTGACGAATTTCAGGCCGATCTGTCATTTGCCGGGCCCTCAAAAACCAGTGTGTGCTGTAAGATGCTGCCCGGTATTGTACGAATATCAAAATAAAGAAACTAAAAAACATACCAAGTTAGTATCAAAATTGTTCTTTTCTAATTAGATTTAGTTCATTTAAGTCAAAGTAATTATCTCTATACATTTTGTAATTCATGTCATATTTTTTCTGTGCATACTGGTTTACATTGCTTTCTTACATCATGTGACGATTATTTCTTTTTCAGTTTACCGTACCGTATGATTTACGCTGTTGCATCGTTAAGTGAAGTTTACCTGTACGATACTGAACAATTTACACCATTTTGCTCCGTGTCAGATATTCATTACGCTTGTATAACAGACTTGGCATGGTAAGTGAAATAGTAAACACAGACTTCTCAATTCTTTATTTGTGAAACATTGTATTGTCTTCTCGACTGTTCAAAACGTTTTGGTTGGTCATCACGATGAAACCTATATCGTAGCTGCTTCGCTTAAGACGCGCTTTGCAAAGTATGTCACTGCTAGTACAGAGTTCCTTTATCATATATGTTTATACTATCTCTTTAATTTTGGTGACCCAAGAATGGGTATAAAGAAATTAGCTTTTCTTTGGGCAACTGAACTGATTCCTAACGGAGAACATCTGTAGCTTATAGCTGGCGAGGGTATGTTGTTAGTTCTCATTGAAAACAATGTGTTGCTTAAACTCGTGAGTCTAAAAAACAAGTTTTGGCGCGAAAATCTAAATATACCAAATTTTATATGGAATATGCGGAAGGCGCGACACGCAAAATGCTAAGAGATCTGCGCTCAATAAACGCGCAATGTGCCTCGCGCGTAGGGCCTGTCGTGATATCATGGATCGCTTAGGTTCCACCAGGATCTGGTAGTCCTCATAATTCTGCGGCCTCTATGTTTCGTCATCTCGCACAACTCTTTAAGAATCTTGTGGATTTGGCATGTGAAAATTTGCAGCCTTCCAGACATTGATTGGGTTAACGAGGTGTCGTACGTCACCTCAAGATCGGGTGACAGGGGGCTGACCAGGCCAGAACCCAATTGATTGGGTCTTAGGTCACGTGATTATGAGCCTGAGGTCACGTGACTATGACGTCACCAGACCTTCCTCTCCGTTTCCCGCTCATTGGACCAGGTGAGCTTGCATGCATGTGAATGTGGGTGTAAGTATAGCTGTACTGTAGTTTATACCTAATTAAACCCCTATAGAAACCGAAAATTTATTTTCTGGCAGAAAGCTAGAAATTTACCAAAATATCGTCATTGTTTTAAATTTATTTTGATGACCATTCCTGACCTAAAATCGCACGAGAAATCGATTAAACTTGGTTTCAGAACTCAACTATGCTTCCTTATGTCTTAAAATCCATGTTTTATCAATACAATCAACATCTCGATCATGTAGTTAAACTTATTACTTAACGGATTCAAGTATAGTTACGCGGTAGACAAACTAAAACAAAATTAGGTTTATAACCTGCCAGGACGTGCGCCGAGTTAAACTTGTCGAAGGTAATATTTTACGAGTATCACCCGTTAAAGACAAAACACCAGTTTAATTGTCCTTTTGTCTGAACCATATGGTTAAGTGCAAGCTGTATACAATACGTCAAAAAATCATATCAACGAATCGTATCAAAGTCCATCATCAGTTAGTAACAGAGTAGAGATCAGAGCAGAACGAAGGAACATGCTTGCTTGCGGGAATCTTTTCTGAAATATTGTCGACAGGTTAACATCAATTGCATTTCCGTTACTTGGGTGTGGGATATAAAGCATTATATGGTTGTTAAAAGCCTACATAATACTCTTCAGTTAATATGGCTAATGTTTAGCATTATTTATAATCCATTATAATGATTGATGTGATCTGAAATTAAGTTAAGCTACAGACGTTTTTTGTGACAATACAAGAAATAATGGTTGAGCTCCTGCCTGTGAGCCACTTAGGAAATACAGTATATCTGATTTATTGTACCTTCACTTCTTCTGCTTTTTCGTTTGCTGTCTGTGCTCTGCGACAGCAATTTGTTGCCCAGACTTCCTATCCTCCCCTACCACCTTCTTACCACAGGTTGACATAAGAGCCACTTGCCTCTCAACGGCTTGATTGTTGTTGACAAATGCCGTTTTGAGAGGCATTCTTATATAGGAGATTTCTCCCCCGGGTACCCCACCAACGACAAGCGGTCCTCTTTCAGAAGCACGTTCTTTCCACCAAGGTAGTGGAGGCTGTCCCCTACCTTTCCATCAAAGTAAAGCCCTGCACGAAAGTTCAAATTAAGTTTACACTAATACTTACTCATTACTCAAATATATATATTTGAACTCTTAATATCATGAAATACGCAATCGAACAGATTTGTCTTACCCTCCACTTTAAGATCTTGCACCGACAACAGAGCACTCCTCCTTCGCTTATTTGTTGCCAAGCGCAACTGAGCCTCTGTTGCCTCCCTGTACAGTCCGTCCTGAGAAGTCATGTCACGAAGAATATTAGTCATCGTGACATTGCTGATGCCATGCCTCATCATAGATCCAGTGACCATATCGACAGCAGGGTTAATCTCCAACTCCCGGTCCCGCCTATTTGGTGTCCAATCTTTATCTGATGGGTCCTATAGAAGTATAAATTATTTATCATGTAGCCTTTATCCTAACTTAAAGTGAATAAGGTCACGCGATGAATCACTTATTGTATAACGTGACGTTTTAATTACCGTCTATAATAGCTAAGATGTTATCACCACGAGCTTACAATTATTATTGTGCTGACAGGGATGAGACTACTGAAACTTACGCAGTATGACTCCTGGGACGATTCATCCACAATAGCGAATTCATAGTTGAACTGTCGATCTGTCTGGTCCATATCTTCTACTTCTAGTTCTAATTCGGCCGGTCCTGCTTCATTTTCACTCCTAAATAATGTATTATTGAATTTATATCAGAGAACACAAGTTCATATCATCGAAATTTCCGACATAGTGTTATAGCAATCGATTTATTCGGGATTGCTGATCATAGGCTACCTACCGTTCTTCATTTGTACTTATAACGACAGGCTGGAGGTCTTCTGTCGTCAACCGGGATTCCTCTGCTACGATCCCACTGCCTTGCTGGGATTCCACTGCTTCGCTGAAATGTATATATCTCAAATTGCAGCAATGAATTCAGTGTAAAAAGGAGTATTATATTACCTTATTTGTTAGAATCCTTACGGTAAATAAAGTATAGAAAATCTCTGAAGATCACGACCAAGGCCAAGAGGTGTACACAGTGGGGTATAGTTGGCAAGTGTGAATAATAAACCCCATGTACAGGAAAAGTAAACAAACCTATATAATATTTGTGTCGCTTATAATGTAGACGATCGCCTGTCTGTACAGTACATAGTAAACTACACATTACACACTACACACCCTGCACCATGTTCATCGTTTTAGTTGTACTAGTACATTATAACAATGTGTGTGCAGCATGTAGTGTATTTTGTACTTTACAGACAGTCGATTGTCTGCATTAAACAAGTTATTGCACCTTGCATACATCCCGACATATTACATAATCATTATTCCTATATACCGCTGAATGGGAGTGAGTATTACAAACCTCGGGTCAGAAAACTTCCCAAGGACCGAGAATCTTTTGTTCAATTCATCCTGGAAGTCGGCGTACGGTGTATTGTTGACTTTACAATTACGGATCTTCTTCATGGTTGCATGAAGTTTCTTCAGTTTTCTAAAAGTAAAAGATGAATGAATAAAAACCTCCGAAATAAGTGTTACATCATAAACAAACAAAGTCCGTAATTTGCTGATACGTGTTCTATGCTCACACTCGCTCCCTCAACTTCTGTCTTAATCTACGGATATCGAACGAATTGTAACAAAAAGAATAAAAAATTCACGTGTAAAGTTGCAAGTAATAATATATCTAATAGCTTGATCATATATTCAGCGACAATATTTACAAGGGAAATTGAAACTACATACTTGAAGATGTTGGCTTTACTGTTAAGAGATATCAATAATTCCGATTCAGCATAAAATTGAACAAGTTCCTCAGCCACCAAGGTCAGAATTCTGTTAATCTGTACCTTCGGTTGCTGGTCACTTCTAAGAAGTAATAATTGAAGCACTCTCCTAGTCGAAGGAATCGTTTGAGGTAACTCAAGTGGCTCTCCAATAAGGGAGGAAAACTTCATTTTTGAATGGAAAATTGTAACGAATTGAAAATGTAACGATTAAAATAATGCTTGCATTTCTTGCGTATTTAGCAGCCTTTTTTAGCGTAATCTTGATTAAAACTGCTGCCATTGGTCGATATATTCTATCAGTAGAATAAGCTGTTGCAATTGGCCACATATTGTTAACTAATGCACCCTACTAACGCGTGTCTTACTCCGCAAAACCATCCAAAAGCTATACACTAATCCTACCTAATCTTACACTCAGCTCTAATGGCTATTCTACACTCAAACTAGAACATTCTAAAAGATCGATTATTACGCTGAAACCCTGCTGTGTACAGCTTATTGGCCACTGTGTATGTGCTAGTAGTCATATATGTGTGAAAAGATGCCGATAATACTTCCAGATTAATTACGAAAATTGAAATAACAGAGACTTAAAAAAAGCTGCCCAACTGAAATTGCACAAATTGCAATACAACTGCCACATAACACAAGGTTTTTATACATATAAGTTTATTTAACGGGTGATAGCTAGCTTAGCTACTGCGTACTGCGACTACCCTGTCGGGCATTAATAGGAACGCTTGAAGTCATTTTAATAATACAATACCATTAAAGCACATAATTGTGAACGTTAGGGCCTTCGGTCCAGCGTCCACATAATGTCGGTCCAAATGATTTCCGATGAGGTAAATACAAAGTATTGTTTTTCATGGACGAACTGTTTATCAAAAGATGTTAAACATGCAATTGCAATGTGTAACGATGAAGTCCGAAACCATACTGTGACACCACCAGGGCATTCTCACCAGGGCATCTAAACTAGTACTTTAGATTTGTTTGGAGAGGCGAATCATAAACTAGTACTTGGTAGAATAATCTTCTCGATCCAAAGTAACTATTCTCAGAATAGTATTCTTATGCTCGACGTGACGAAGTGCTCTATAATGCGACTTACGTGGGCCCACACAATACATTAATGTCTTCCTCCTTAGATAGTAGGAATATCGGTATTTGACAAAACTTTAGTTGAGTACTCGATAGTGCCTACTATCGAGTATCGTGTACGCCGTACGGATTCTAAGGATTCTGTTTTTGTTTTTTTTATCATGTAAGATGATATCACGCATGACTGACCATATTTTCGTTGCAATAAAAAAATATTCTGTGGTCGATGTTGCTTTGCGTTGTAAGTATTTTAAGACTATATCAGGCACATTTATTCTGGTTTTTAACCAATTGTATCATAAGCAATAGAACCGACAACAAATGCCTCTACTGAAGTGTCCTAGATCAGAAGCAACATACCAGGATGTCCTGGACACCATGTCCCTGTGGAACATACCCCTATGTGTCCTGATCTGTCTGCTGAACTCCCTGGTTATTCACCACTACTACCGTCAAACCAACAAACTAACATCCCTCTTGTTTCTCCTCATATCCCTCTCTGATCTGTGCACTGCTCTGGGACAGTCTGTTATAGCTATCAGCGTCCTCTGCCTGTATGGGACGTCTCATATCTCAAACTGGATTGCTACAGGAATAGCTATGTTCCATGCACTTTTTGGACTGCTGGGTTATGCTTGCTCCATCTTCTTTAACGTTGTGATGGCCGTTATTAGAACTATAAACATCTGCAATCCTTTCTATCGTTTAAATAAACGTATTCTTAAATTGGCAGTGTTTTTTCATGTGATGGTTCTTCTTCTTCTCTGTTTTATGGATTTGTATTACGATGCAGCCACTAGCAACACTTTTAACCGCCCTTGGTTCACTATTTGGTTCAACATGGTCATGGCTTACGTCGGCCACAACTTGGTGTATGATCTCGGTATATTATGGATTGTCAAACTTCCTTTTGGAGTACAGATCAGCATCACGGCTACTCTAGTGTCACTCATATTCCTCATACCAGTTGTAATGGTGGTGATGTGCCTCATAACACAGCTAATAGTGGTAGAATATCGGCGATATCACACCCAGTCTCCACGTGCGCGGCTCCTCTGCTGCCCACGTGCAAGCTGCCCACGTGCAAGCTGCTCAACATCTGACACAACACGTGCTACATCAGGTGACCACGTGTACCTCACTGACTGGAATCACGTGAACGTCACCGTCTTTCTCTTATCTCTGGTATTCGTTATCTGCAACTCTGGTATTGCTGCTCTCACTATCTACTACAAGGAAGTGTTTAGTGAGGTAGGAGAAGGTTCTGTGGACGAGTGTTTCCTGCAAGGTATAGTCAGCTCTACTCTGCCCCTGCTCAGTGCTCTTCTCACCCCTCTTATCATCATATCCAGGAGCTCTTCACTACGTGGAGATGTTGTGAGTTCTCTCTGTGCAGCCTGCAGCCTGGCGCGTGCAGCCTGCAGCCTGGCGCGTGCAGCCTGCTTTGAAGTCTGGCGCGTTTTGAAAAGACTCCCAGCAGGAGCTGTTCAGGCGAACAATATTCAAGAGGATGATCTCCTACTAGGAGGTTGAAGGCACGTAAACTGCTCACTTACTTTGTTGACGAATAACGGAGCCTTTTCGCGAAATGACTTCTGAGACTATTAGAAATAATATTATACTATACTTTTTAGTCAATTGAAACAATTAATTATGATAATAATTTAATCATTCCAAACGATACTATAAAGACTTGGATGTGAGCTAGTTATGTAGATTATTGCTTTTAAATCACAAGAACGGTGTTAATTTCTGTATAATTACTAAAATAGAGTGTAAGACAATGAAGGATCAATTACTTTTCTAACAGTGTAGTTACTACAAACGGATGGTTTTTGAGAAGTCTTCTGATCTTCCCTTCAAGAATCATCTTGTTTGTAAACTCCACTCCCATAACCTTTACTGACTTCACTGCAGATTTCTCAGCAGAGATATTTAACCGTAGTCTCCTACCAATCTGATTCAACGACTCTAATCTATTAAACCTTTTGTTTCCTGAAGCTGTTTTGATAGTTAAGCTTACTTTTTCTGCTGCTATATTTAAATCCCAGTCTATTTCTACGCTCTTAATCAAACAGAATACAGATGTTACCCAAATCCAATTCCAGCCACGATTCTGAACATTTTCCTTCCGATATAGTGTCCTCCGAATGTCCAGACATTTCGTTAGTTTTATAAATAAACTTTTGAAGATAATTCTCAACATTCTCAATGCTAACACCAGCAAACAATGATTCTTCTGCCTGTCCACCAAACAAACCAAGCCCGTTGAATATTTTCAGAAATTCTGGAATCACTTCCTGAATAGTATTTTCCTCCTTTTTTACAAGCTCAATCAGCTCTCGCCACCTTGGTTTGGTTATGTTACAGACATTCTCCTTTTCAATGCCAAATATGACAACTTGGCGCACACCAAACGACATCCCTTTGTTCTTGGAAGGGTCTCTACTGCCGTCAGAAAGCTCCAATCTTATTTTGCAAGTCTCCACCAACCAACCAGATATATTGATCCACTGATTACGCTTTTTGTTCTCCTCCCCTTCATCAAATGTTTGATCTATTTCTGTTTTCAACAGTATTTTTTCTCCATTTTCCATGATGGCAAAGATTTTGAAATGATTTGCTTTTGTATGCCCCCACCAGTGTATTCTCACGTGGTCAACTATGCAAGCTGTCTTTAGATCGATTTCTATCCAGGCTGTTTCGTCCCCTGTCCACCATTCACTGCCGGAAAGCTCGGTTATATTTTTACCCCTATCCTGAGTAGAGCTAACACGGACAGGTTTACCCTCAGATATAACTCTTACTCCTGTGGATTCCTTGACTTGGATTTCCACTTCCTCCTCGAGAGCCTTATCTACATTAAGTAAACTTGGTGCAATGGGAGAGGCTTTCTCTTTTTCGGAGGTTTTGATTGCAAAAACTTGCATTTGCCGTAAACCAAACGACATCCCTTTGTTCTTGGAAGGGTCTCTGTTACCGTCAGAAAGCTCCAATCTTATTTGGCAAGTCTCCAGCAACCAACCGGAAATGTTGATCCACTGATTACGCTTTTTGTTCTCCTCCCCTTCATCAAATGTTTGATCTATTTCTGTTTTCACCAGTATTTTCTCTCCATTTTCCATAATGGCAAATATTTTGAAATGATTTGCCTTAGTATGCCCCCACCAGTGTATTTTCACATGATCAACTATGCAAGCGGTAACTAGATCAATTTCAATCCAGGCTGTTTGGTCGCCTGTCCACCATTCACTCCCCGCGTTTTCAGTTATATTTTGAGCCCTATTTCCAGTTGAGCTAACTGTGACCGGTTTACACTCTGCAACATTTTTGAAAGAGTGAGAGTTACCGACCAATCCAATTTCTTTTGCCAAGTAAAGAACATCTTGCCAACTGCTATAATTCTCTGGGCATATGGGGAGAACACGTGAGAATAGAAGTTTAAATCGCTCCGCAGGATCCAGAAAGTTAACAGCTAGACGCAACTTTTCTGACAACAAATACTTCTCACCAGTTTGAGCGTCGTTTATGAGCCTTATAAAGAGAGCAGACCTACTCCACTGAGCCTGGACC